ATATTACAATGTGCATGTAAGATGTCGCCACTATCGTTTCATCTGTATTTACATTATACTAGTTTTTGACAACTGACACATTTCATTTTTTTGTTTTGTTTCAGGTGAGGAATCAATAGTATTCCAGCAACAGCAACAAAAATATACAGAGGAGCAATTTGTGTGCAGTGGCGTGAGTATATGGAGTGGTAGAGTGGTGTTGTATATATTAACAACAAAATCATGCGATTCGAATCGGATTGATTGATTGCACGCACATGCACACACATAAACACAAAGGGCGGAAAGCCAATTTGCAGGGCCCTTCCAATAGATATTACAATGAGATAAAGAGAGAATGAGATGTATGGCCTCGAAAACGTTTAATTAGAAACGTTAAGATATTCATTTCATAATTGCGCAAATAAAAATTCATTTCGACGTTGATCGAATATTCCTGTCTGCTGATCAATTAAAATTCGCGGAGCGTTGAGATGATTCGAAGTGACGCGCATATAAATATACAAAATGAAAAAATATCAATGACCGGAGAAATCATTGGCATTTCGCTAATTGCTTCTGATTTTGACTTTCGATTCGTTTTAACCCATCAAAATCGCATTTCGGTTGATTAATTAATGCATTAAATCGTGATTCGAATATAGTTTGTACTTTTTTTTATTTAAATATTTGCCTCAATTTGTTCTTTTATTATTATAAAATCTTATAGGATTGAACTTTTTTTTTTATTTTAACGTATTGTTATATACTGCAGTGGTTTCCAAACTTCATGTTACTACGCCTCCCTCAAAAGTATGTAATCATTTGGCGCCTCCCCTTTCATAAAATGAACGCGCATTACAGCGAGAAAATCAATGAAATGTAAAAACACTGCTTTTTCGTGCATTTTTTCAACTTTGAGCACGAATTACAGCCAAACGGCTAAAACCACAGTAATATATATATACTTGCTAGATTCCCCAACTATCCAACTTTCATATGCAACTTTCTGATCCGTTCCATCTCTTATAACTTCTGAATAAATGACTAAAATGAACTATAACGAAAATTTAAAGAACATTTGTATCTGTCACAATGACATTGACGTTTCAGTAATAACCTAGGTAACCTAATTCCGAGTAAAGTAATGATTTGTCGGGCAAAGAGAAACGAGAAGGGAGTTATCAGGTTAATCGAACTATCCGTGGTATGCGGAGCGGACAACTCAAATATTAATGTTTCTGCTGTAATTACGTTCCGCCCGGTCTCTCTTTTCTCAATCGTGTCATCATTCTTCACCCTCACCCACAACGTTCACCGATGACAGCACATATTTAGTGCTGCCAACTGCACATAAAAAAAAACAAAACAAAACAAAAAGGGATATCAAAGAAAAATGAACAAACGACAAATTACGTTTCCACATAACATAACGAGTGACGTATCAAGTGACACCTGTCAAATGGATGGACAATCGAGCAACAATAAAACAAAATGCGCACCTCTCTTGATGGTTTCGCAAGAATGGGGAAAGAGGAAAAATGTGCTTCCGGTATCTTTGGGTTCTTTCCGCTCGTTGGTTGTTCGCCCATCGGAAGAGATATATAATAAAGCCGGTGGCGGTCATAAATCGTGTAACGGCCGTCGCCCCCCCTCACCGTCGTTACATAACTCAGCGTCCCGGTTTATTGCCGTTATGTACCAGATATTATGCACAAACACACACACTCCGTGTGCATACTACAGTTAATAATTCATCTCTTAAAACTTAAAATAATGTTGGTAACTAATAAATAAACAATTCTATCGACATTGTATGAAATCAACTAAATTATTTTTTTTTAACTTTGACAATTAACTGTAGTAGGTGCAAAACTAACAGATGGCTCTATAAAATGCCTGAATTTTCATCTTTAATTCAAATATTAATTTATAACTGTAACACTTGTTTCAGCCGAGATAAACGTACAAAAAATCTTAATACTATTGAAATTGGTGGATGCGCCGGGTATTAATATTTCAATTACATAATTGTCGCAAATATTCGTACGTCCGCTACAATTTTTCGCTTGCTTTATTTATTTTCGCTATTTTGGCAGCTCTGAAAATTGAATATTATTGTCGCCCCGCTCGTGCCATTAAAATTAAACTCGCCCGATGTCCGCGACATTTATTATTGGCAACTTGGCACACTTTCAAGCGCCGCTAAAAGCCTGCACCGATGAAATTCGGGATAGAATTTAATATAAATCCACACCGATTATCATTATCGATGATGAATCAACGCAACAGCGTCAATCAAAAAATAATTTCGAATCCCCTGTCACAATTTCCAATTTGTTTTTGTTTTTTCCATCTGTTTCGTTTGCAAATGCAACCCAAAATACAAAAAAAAAAACATTAACAAGTTGGTATCTGTTAAATGACCATGTCAAAGATAAGTAACGTATATTGCATAAAACAAATGAAATATTTCTTTTTATGATCACTAAATTCCTTTCTCTCTCCAGATTCTCTGTTTTCTATTAGAATTGGAAGAGATATTTATAATTGGCTGAAATTCGCACGTAAAATATTCCCACGTTCCGTCTATTCCAACGTCTAATTACACGCAACTGTGCAGTGCAGTCCGTAAACGCGGAACGGACGAAATTCGCGGAACTGAATAATAAATTAAATTTTACTATGCTCCGGCGATGATGATGTTTTCGCCGCATTTCAGTTCAGCTTTTGTTCCATTTTCGACGTACGAGTTCCTAGTATTTCTATAGCTTTTTGTTTACACAACGCATTTTCCACATGTATAATTAAATTAAACAAAGCGAGATTAAAAACGCATTTGTTTTAATTAGTTTTTATCCTATTTTGTTTTCCTTATATTCAAAATTGTTTTCATTTTAAATAAACAAATAAATTTAATATCTATTAGATTTATAGAAACTGAGTAAATTGTGTTGCATAATAAGTGATAATTGTGTTGCATACATTACATCATATTGAAAGCAACGCCCTCTCTTTTAACAGCAATTTCGAGTTTATTTACGTGCTCCGACGCCCTCTTACATCTTACCCCGATGAATTTTTTAATACCCCCGGCTCAATTATTACTGAGAGCGCGTGCTGACAAGAAAAATGAATAAATGAAATTAAGTGAAAATTTCTTTTGTTTCACCACTTTTTTTTGGTGTCGGTTTGCGCCCTTTACGAATTCAATTTATTTTCGGTGATCGGCATTAATTTTCAATCAACGGTTGAAAGCATTGAAAGTAAACGAACCGAAACGATTTCACACAAAAAAAAATAATTAAAACGAAACGAAAAGAAAAATCCTCCGCGCGTTAGTGACGATTCAAGGTTTCTACTGAATTTTCAAAAAAATGAGAAACACTGAAAAGTGTAGTTAATTGGAGAAATTCGCTGCAATTTTCTGGATCAGCGTTTGTGAACGAATTGCGATTGAATTTCTGCAAGTGCACAACAATCATGATTTATCGTTTTGCGCAGTAACGCCCTCTGCATTCGTACAGTCGGTGTGGTTTATGTACCTACTAGGGCTTATCTCGAGCTTCCAGAAATTGATTTACCTCGCCCAATAATAACTGTAATTGGATGTCTATGTATGTCTATGTGTGTGGAAGCACGGTGTGTATCGGGAGATATTGCGAATTAATTCGAATGCACGGCTGGTTAATGTGCACATGTGTGTGCAGCCAAGAGAGCAAGATATTCCTCAATCAAATCTATGCAATATTAACCTTCTCTTGTTTGCATGGAGAGCGGCGCCATCTGCATGCCACATGCAAACAATGTTATTTGTTGCATTGTCTGCAGACCACACGTTTGACAACTCAATTTTGAGTGCATCTGAAAACGTCATTATTACGTCAGTTCGATGGAGAAAATTGAGCCGATCCGAATGAATGATTTATAAAGTTTATTAACCGACAGACGTAAATCTGGGACGAACGAATCCTGCTCATCGAGGCAGAGACTATTTTCGAATATTGTATATACAATTTGATTGCGTAAAATGAAACAAATAACATATAAAAAGAGAGAGATAGAGAAAGAACGTAGAAAAGTGCTGGCAAAATCCGTTCAATTCGCCTCATAAATAATTAAAACTAATTTCTTCTCCCATTTTTATTATTCACCCCCGTTCCGTCCCGCTTTGTCAAACTCTCCTCCAACTCGATCTCCTTTTCGTCCTTCTCCTTCAAGGACATTATTGATTGAATTATTTATTTCCACTGTCTAATACCATTAGCGAATGCTCTAATTTATTTCATGAATTCCTAATGTTTATCTCTCTCTATAAAAGAGACTTATACTATTCTCTAATCGCCAACTTCTACATTTGACATGCAGATCAATTACACTTACAAATAACTCGTTTCCATTAAGATCCGTTTGTATAAATCCGGCTGAAAACATCTTCATCATGCTCGAAACTATCGCTGCAAAGAGTAATCGCAAGTTGTTACTCTTTCGTGCCGCGATCTCTAACGCGGATTAACGTTTATTTTGCGAAAGTTCGGGTAAAGTTTCGCAGATTGGATTTAATACCTGCAGCGAGGACGGCGACGGCGGTGTTCCTGATTAAAATCAATTAACATTCGTCGGTACAGAAGTTTTCGAAACACATCCCGTACTTTGGGGAAAATCGTTAGCGGTGTATGCAACTAATTAAACACGGAGTAATTGCATAGGGTCGAAGGGGAAAAGCGTTATCTGTTGTTCGTAAATGTAACTACTCTCTCGCACTGATTGAATTACACCAATTTTCACAGTTTATCGATATTCGCAAGTTACTGCACGGCACAGTATTAGGTAATAGCGGGAAAGTTACAGAACTAATTATTATACGTTTACAATATGAAATGGGATAGGTGTTTGCGGTGTAGATGGTTCAAATGAGATGGATCTGTGCAAATATATTCAATTTTCGCGTTAGGCAACTGCATATTCATGCAGGGGTTGCGGGAAGTTTTAAATGGACCGAAGCTTTGATATTGAAATGTGAATTGGAAGTTTGTGTACGTTTTGCAGATTGATCCGCCGGAGGAGAGCGAGCAGCAGAATGCGGCAGTGATGGGGGCGGCTGCGGCGGCGGCGGCGTCGACGGGTGCGAAAGGTTTAACAGCAGCAGGTGACGTGGGTGACGGAGCCGGAAGTTCGGACGATGCAAACACTCCGCTGCAATCCCCGAAATCTCAGAACACGAGCCACGAGGACGAAGAGGAAGAGGAGGAGGAGGAAGAGGACGAATCCTCGAACGCCAACGAATCCGACTGCAAAAGCCCGACCAACCAGAGGTGTGTGGAGTGAGTATTAAATTGCACAGTATTAAGCATCCCCCCGTACACGAATATCGTTACATACGCCACCACATTCACACACAAGCATATCAAGAAAACAGCAAACACAAATATTTCGTTTTCTTTGTTCGATTTGTTCGTTTCTTTTTTAATTCTGTTTAATTTTGTTATTGTTATTATTATTGTGTTTTCTGTGGCCTGTGTGGTTTAGAATAGAAACATTTTTGTTTTTTGAACCGTCCTTTACAGAGACAATGATGATGATGATGATGATAAGGGGGGCGAGGAGACGGCGAAAGCGGCCACACAGAGCTGGAAGAATCTGCGTGCGGTCATGGCCTATTACCATTCGCTGCGCAAGATCAAGAGGTTTCTCCCCAAAAAGTCACTTACTTAACATATTCTATACTACTTATAAATTAATTACTTAATTATATAACTACTACTACTACTACTACTTTATTTAACGTCTAATTAACGTAACCTTAGCAATCTATACAAAAAAAAAACATGCAGAGAGTCATCTCTTCTTTTCCAAAACAACAAAAAAGCACTCTTTTTGACAATGTGTGTGTGTTGTGTTTCTTAATATCTATCTCTCTCTCTCCCTCTCTCTGTGTGTGTATTTTCTTATTATCTCTGTCTCTATCTTTCTACAAGTACATCTTCTTTACCCCTCAACCCACTACCATTTGTTTCTTCAAATTAACATATTTGAATAAATTTACCCCCATTTTTTTTGGCAACGCTGCGCATCACAGTTAATTCCATCTTTCGAACAAACACCGCTGCAACAAATGTTGCCTATATAGAAAGAACTAAACTTTGGGTGCGCAGCGTAAGTACTTAACTGCATGGTTGTTTGTTTATTGGTCGATGCATCGATGTTTTTATTGTTACTATTGTTGTTATTGTTGTTGTTGTTATTGATGTGTTGAGTTTTCCTTCGATTGTCGACGTCGAAAAAAGATCTTGTTTCATTTGTTTCATGAAATACTTATTGGGCTGCTACTGCAGTAAAATTGTAATTTAATGAGATCCCGTATTTCCACCTGTCCGTTATTTCTATTTTCAATAGTGTACATTTGTGGCGTTCGTTTGGAAATAGTGGGTCGAATTGGATTACGGTAGAGTTGATATAGTTTTAGCAATTTAGTTTGTCTTTCCAGTATCTCTCTCTCTCTCATACTATTTCTCCTTTATTTGAGAAGAATACGAGCGTTTTACCTCCAATCTCTTTCTTCCGATCGAAACAAAAACGTAAAGAGAGTAAATTCAAAATAATAATGGAATCACGAGAATCAAGTGTAGGAAAACATCCTACCTTCATTCTCACACTCTGAATCAATCAATCACGACTCGACCACTCTCGCTATTTTCTAGAACATTTCTCTCTATTTATCTATCTCTTTCTTTCTCTCCTCGTCCTCTGTCATGAGATTTGGTGTTTTAGTGGTATTCTTACTGTTGATTTCTTATTTATAAAACGTTGATAGTTGTGTATTAACTTTTGTATGTTAACTTGTATAAGTGTTTTATATTTATTTATGTTCTCTCACACATGATGCATTTGCAGTTCGTTTCCGTTTCTTTTACTCTTTCGTTCCATTCCGTTTCTTTTACTCTTACTTATTTCATTGTTATTAACTATTGTTTCTATTCGTTTGTTTGTTCGTTCGTTGGTTCGTTTATGAAAACCGATAATTTATAATATTAATACTTGAATGCAAATGTTCTTCCAATGTTGCTTGTAATACCGTTTACGATATCTTGCAGAACGAAATCCAATCAACGATGGATGAAGCTCAGGACGACCGTGCAAATCTCGTCCGCCATGCAGAAGGTATGCACAACCCGTTCCTATCACATGCACACCCTCTCACGCATTACACGCAAAGCTACACACTCACGTCACGCGTCTCGCTGTTATATCATGCGAGTCGCGCGATGCTCACGATCTTAGACGATCTCCAAAAAGTAATTGATTTCGCATAGATTTGTAGGTTGTAAACTAATAGAATAACTTGTATTATAACAAGTTAATTTGAAAAGCATAGATTAAAGAAAAAAAATAGATATAGATAGAATAGAATGTAGTAGAAATTAGTAGTGATTAATGAAAATGAATAAATTGAATTTGCATTTTAAACTTATTGAAAACACGCAAAAAGCAAAGCAGTCCCCGTTTCTTATTTTAGTAATAGCACTAGAAGTAGATATATTCAAAATTTATAGAAACCTAAAGTAGTAAAAGTTCTCGTTCTTTTTGCAGAAGCCAAAGGTGGTGTTTCTAGTTTGTCTCTGAATCTGTCTGACTCTGTTTTCGCTAAAAGAATTAAAAAAAAATTAATTGCGTTACAAACGAGCATCATCACGAGATAAAGCAACCCAAACCACAGATCGACCATACCAACCAACCAACCAAAAAAAAAAAGTAACCCCGAAAAAAAAGATAATCCGCAACCAAAACTCCGCCACCATTAAATCGCTAGACCCGGAACTCAGAGTGCGACAAAGTTGGAATAAAGCAAATGTTTTCTGAATTCAGTTTATCTTTCAGAAGCCGCCGCTGAAGCGCGAAGACTCCTTCCTGCAGCGCTTCTCGACGCGGCAAATCCCGGAAACCCAAGAGACCGTCGAGGATACCGGAAGCGAGGGCGGAACCGGAACGGACGGTGCGACGACGTCGCGACGCCGACGCCGTGTTCGAAAGCAGCCGCGAAGCGTCGTCAATCCGGACGAGAACTTCTACTTCCACTGGTTGCTCGTCCTCACCTGCTCCGTTCTGTACAATCTCTGGTCGCTGATCGTGCGCCAGAGTTTCCCCGAATTTCAGGTACAAACATTATTTTGTAATCACAACAATTTCTGTCTTAATCTTTGATGTTTCAAGGCTTTGCTCTCCCGTTTCTGGTTTGCGTGCGACTCCCTCAGCGACGTTTTCTTCCTGCTCGACGTTGTGGTTCAGCTCCGGACTGGTTACCTGGAGCAGGGTCTGATGGTCTACGACTCGAAAAAGCTGGCCAAACACTACTTGACGTCACGTGCCTTCTTGCTGGATCTGGCGGCCCTCTGTCCGCTCGACCTGCTGCAGATTCGCTTAGGTCCGCAGCCCCTACTTAGGTTTCCTAGATTTTTAAAGGTTTCAACTCACGATCATCCATCGCCAACAAATGCGCAAATCTTCTGACGTCCTTCTCACTTTTTACAGGTATACCGGGCGGTCAACTACTACTACATGGTGGAATCGCGTACCGTCTATCCGAACCTCTGGCGGGTTGTCAATCTCATCCACATCCTGCTTATCCTCGCCCACTGGTTCGGATGCTTTTACTTTCTCCTCTCCGAGGCCGAAGGATTTCAGGTCAGTAACGCCATCTGTAGTTTACATTTTTTTTTAAATTGTTTTTTGCTTTTTACAGGGTGATTGGGTGTATCCATACCGTCCAGGGGATTACGCGACGTTGACGCGCAAATATTTGGGCTCACTTTACTGGTCCACGCTGACTCTGACGACCATCGGGGATCTGCCGACGCCCGAAACTAATGCCGAGTAAGTGCAAATTCATACAACCCAACTTTGTATACAAGCAAATTGGTTTGCATACTCAATGACATCTATACGCCATCTATAATCCAACCATTACTAATTTATAAATAAATATTTAAAAAATATATTGATAATTGTTAATTGAAAAGCTCAAAGAATGGTCAAGCTTATGAATCAATCATTCAATTAATGATGAAGAGTGAAACTAAGTAAGTCGCTGCGTGGTTTGTTTAGAAAGACGGACTCTGTGGACGGTCCGAGGTCGTTGCCGCGCAGGGGCGTCAAATCGCGACTTCTGCAGTTCAACAACAACGGCGGGTACGTTCTTCGATCTCTAACTCTCAGAACTCTTAATATCTATCTATCTCTACCTCTCTCTCTCTCTATTTCTCTATCTACAACTTTCTTCATCTTTCGTCTATTTGTGAACAATAAATGAAAAGATTGAAAAGACAGAAGAAATAGTAAATCTTTTGCTGTTGTTTCTTTGACTCTCATCTCCATTTCGGAAGGGACCACCGCGCGCCCTTCGGTTTACGGGAGGGGCCGTCCACTCAGTCCTGACTGTCATCAAAAACCCAAAACCAAAAATCGAAAATACAATGAAAAATTAAATGAATGTGACAATAATAACAATAAAATTTCATATATGAAAAATATGAGAAAAGAAAGCATAAGTACGCACGGAGGTTTCTTCCGAAAAATTACGAAAAACAAATATATATATGAAAATAGTTTATAGCTGATGTCGGTCTCGTTCTGTTTTGCTTCTCTGTTCGCAGATATGTGTTCACAATCGTTTCTTATTTGATAGGTGTATTTATATTTGCGACAATAGTAGGTGAGTACCGCAATTACTAATAATATTTGCATCTCTGTAATTACAATGTTTCCATAGGTCAAGTTGGAAATGTGATAACGAATAGAAACGCCAATAGGCTCGAGTTCGAGAGGCTCCTGGATGGGGCCAAAACATACATGCGGCATCATAAGGTATACATTACATCAACTACTACTATTACTACTACTATTGCGTTTATGTCTATTTAGGTACCTGGTGGAATGAAGAGGAGGGTGTTGCGATGGTACGACTATTCTTGGTCGCGCGGTCGTATCCAAGGCGGCGGCGACATCAATACGGCTCTGGGTCTGCTCCCGGACAAGCTGAAGACTGAGTTGGCGCTGCACGTGAATCTGAGCGTCCTGAAGAAGGTGACCATCTTCCAGGAGTGTCAACCGGAATTCCTGCGTGATCTCGTGCTAAAGATGAAAGCCTACATCTTCACGCCAGGTGATTCCATATGCAGGAAGGGAGAGGTTGCAAGGGAGATGTTCATCATCGCCGACGGCATCCTCGAAGTGCTCAGCGAGGCAGGACGAGTTCTCACGACTATGAAGGCTGGAGACTTTTTCGGGGAAATCGGCATCCTGAACCTGGACGGATTGAATAAGTATTAATTAAAAAATTAATGAAACATTTAGTGTTTTGTAATTAATCGAATTTGGAACATCATGTACAAAGGCGCACTGCGGATGTCAGATCAGTTGGATATTCTGAACTGTTTTCGCTCTCGCGTGAAGACGTTCTTAACGCTATGAAGGATTACCCGGAAGCTCAGGAGATTCTTCAGGCTCTCGGTAGAAAACGGTTAATGGAAGTGAAAGCATCTGCAAGGCAATACCACAAGGAGCAGAAGGAGCAAGCTGCTCACTCGGCGGATGGAAAAGGACTCGTCGATAAAATCAAGAACGAAGCCAAAGTGAGTGTGCTGCAGTCTTCTTAATCATTTGTTTCAAAACCAAATATAAATATATAATAACAGATATTGAAACTTTATAATTAGGAACTTTTTGAAGGTGACTACAATCCCACTTTCAAAACAACGCGCCCATTATTCTTGGAGGTACTCGAATTTTTGCCCCTTCCCATGAATATCGAAAAATCGGTGTTTCTCAATATTCAAAAATGAGCTGTTGAGAAATGTTTGATTTAGTTATGATCGCTCGTTTTAAACTAGTTTCTTATAACAAATTTGATAAAATTCTGTAAAATATATTCATAATAGTTATTGTGGTTCTGTACTTTAGGGGTTGAGAAATGCGTTGAGAAAGACGCGCACTCATCGGAGATCGCAGGAATCGTTGGAGCTGCAGCCTCTTCATTCGAAGGAGAGCAACGGCTCGAAAGGTGTACTGAGGAGGATGCCGAGAGTTCGATCTCACGATCTCAGTCAGGACGAGGAGAAGAAGGAAGCAGCCGGTGATCAGCCTGACGGAGAAAAGGTGATTTCACCTCTAGGTGCAGGTCTTCCTTTGCTGGCTAGACTCAGGCTGCTGAAGGAGAAGCAAGAGCGAGAGGAACGCGAAAGGCAGAATGCGACCTGCGCGACGCCGTCCATCCTGTCTCCTTCGCCGTCGAGCGTGAAGAGTCCACCGCCGGTACCGGAGGAGTCACATCCGCAGGAGGTGATCGGTGCCGGACTGCCGCTCCTGCAACGCCTCCTGCTGCTCAAAGCGAAAGAGGACAAGACTTCGGGACCCAGCCAACCCACATCGCCGACAGCCCTAAATTTTGCGCCATCTTCTCAAAGCAAACAGCGAGCCTCAATATCAGTAGCAGCATTGTCGACGAGTGCTGCAAGTGCCGTTGGTGTTAGTCATGCAGCGTCAGGTGGAGGTGCCGGGCAATCGGCACCTCCACCTCCCAAGAACCTGTTAACAGTAAGCGCGGCAAAACCTGCGACCGGAAAAATATCCTTCAAGGACCGACTCAAGTTGCTCAAGGAGCCCAAAGAGGTGGTGATAGTCGTTAAACCAGAACCGTCCAGCGCGAGCGCCCCAGAAGTGCAAAGTGATAGTAACAGTAGTGAAGCGCCGTGGAGCAAGCTTAAGAAGGCGGCGATAGTGCGCGAAATCGAACCTTCAACCTCGACGCCTCCACCGCTACCTCCGCCACCGCCACCTCCTCCTCCACCTTCGACGACGTCATCCACATCGCAAACATCGAAGGTGGCTGAGATCGTCGGCATCGAGGCTAAACCCAGTGCGGTGCTCATCAGCAAACCGAGTTTAGTGTTGACGCGCAGAACGAAACATTACCGCTCCATCGACGATCTCTCACCAGAGTACGGCGGTTTACCATTCGTCAAGAAACTAAAAATTTTGAACGAAAGGCAAAAACTGGAGGAACTCGAGACGGTGATGAAGACTCGCAGCTTCAGCCTGGACATCCCCGATTCGCAGGCCATAGACGGCACCGAGAATCTCACCAGATCGCACTCCGAGGGCAGCACGATGCACCAGAAGGACCTCCTCACGACTCAACTGCTGCCGAGCCCTCTGCACTCCAGTACCGAATCCAACGAAACACTAGAAAGGCGGAATCTCAAGTCGATACTGAAGAAACTCTCGGAAGAAACGAATCAACAGCAGCAGCAACAGCAGCAACAACAGCAGCAGCAGCAGGAAATACAATCGGCAACGACGACGATGCCAGATAAGATCGATTCCACCGAATTTCGTAAGCTAATGAGGGCGCCCACGATCGAAGGTTACGCAGCGCGGCACAGCAAATTATCAAAGAGTGTTACCTTTAATAGAGATACACTTCAGAGTCCTCCAAACAGTGCGAATATCGTGGGCGCAGCGGATGCGCTCTTTCCATTCTCAGGCAATTCACATACAGGCAATGGCATCGATAGGAGCGGCGGAGAGGAGGGCAATCACCAAGAACTGGAGAAGTGCGGCATACAGATCATCTCCCCTAAAACCAATCAAATCAAATACGGCAAAGGTATGAGTGAATGTAACTCACCCAAATTTCAATTTAAATTAATCACGTTTGAAGGATCATTAGATGATGAGCAGCAATACTTTGCGGATATCCTCTTCGCCATCAAGCAGGTAATGAGCAATCATTTGGTAGACATGCAGGATAAGTATGAGCAGAGGATCCAGCGGATGCAGGAGGAGATTCGGGCGAAGGACGTTACCATAGAACAGCTGAGGGCGCACATTGTTGAGCTGGAGATGGCGGCTGACGATTCGTTCACGGTGAGGAGGAGTTTCTTAAATTTTCTGTTTTTTTTTTGTGCTCGTGCTTATTGTTCGTTCGTAGGACTCGATTGAGACTGTGGTTTCCGGCAGGGACCGTTCCTGGGACGATCTGAATCGTCATGAATCGACGGAAGTTGAGCAGTTGCCGCAGACGCCGCTGATGCCACAATCCGTTTGGTCATCCCCGAATCATCGTCGTCACTCGCAGCAACAGCAGCTACAACAACACCATCATCATCAGCAACAGTCACAGCAACAGCAGAGGAGGATGGATGAGAGTTGCGTCCTCGATATAGACTCGAACACAGACACCGAATCTGAGCTGGGGGACTCGTCGGAGCCGGGCTACGAGTCCGGCGAGTACGAAAACACCAGCTCCAATTGGGAGATCGAAATGTTGGCGGCGCAGATGCGTCATCACAGGAGATCAGCGAGTCTTGACCACGCGAGTTCTCGTCCCGTCCGTCGACGATTCACGCGCGGCAGCAGCGCGGATACTAGGCGCGACTGATACACCGTCACCCTCTGCATCATCCTCACGACCATCGACTGAAACACAAACAAACACTAAGTCACCTTCTTCACCTCATCTTCATCAATCAACATAAAAAAAAATGATCATCGACTTCGCGTCGTCGGCGCAGACAAGCACAAGCAAACGAGACGAAGAACTTAAATGAACACGATGAAATACAACATTTAAATTAACTATTTAAATAAATATATTTATAGAGTACGGGTCTCGAGACGGAAGATTTCGGGATTTAAACATATCAAGTTCCCCGCCTCAACAAACAAAAAACAAACAAAAACAAAACAGAAACGTAAGAAACACCAAGCGAACAGACTAGACTAGCCTGTACATACATAATTAATTAATTAATTACGGTGCATCGCACAGGTGTTTTTCAAACTTTCGCAAATTAATTACTATTATGATTACATCTATAATACTTACATAATTACTTTTAAAAACACTGAAACAGGAACAGTTAATTCAGGTCCAACTGAAGCGTCCATCCGACAACTGAAATTACTTTAAAAAACAAAATTCTCCATAGCAACCAAACAAATTATGTGCAATGAGCACCAACGTTTAAAAAAAAATAAACAAACACCTTTGCGAAGTCACCGTGAATATATATACTACCCTTAACCCTCCCGTGTGACACTTGTGATCTAATTATCAAATTTAAGTATTATATAGGGTGCCAAAAGGATTAAAAAGCGAGCAATCTGTGGAAACAGATTGTATTTGGTCATTACATTTTGTTGATTTGCAACAAGTGAAAATTAATCAGTGGCGTATCATGAAACTGGCGTTACGCCACTGGACACAGTCGAAGCACGATCAAAATTTAGCTGAATGGAAATGCCACTAAAAGTATACATCCGCAACAACTATGTAGTAATAAATTTCAATATATATATTGCAACAATATCCATAATTTGCAAATTAATTTGTGAGCAAGACATAGATGGCGCCATTAACTTAGATCACGTTTTCTTTAATTTGTTGTAGTTTTTTTTTTGTCATTTATGTTAATAATTGTGGTAATTTAGTTGAAGATGACCATTGCCGAATAAATAAAGAGAACAGAGTGAAAAATTGTATTTGTAAAAAAAATAATAAATAATACATAAGTAATAATAATAATAATATAAGAAATACTAAAGATTTAAGTGAATAATTAATTAGGGCGTAAATAATAAATAAATATATTATATATGAAGATATAAATATATATACATATAATGACCATTTCTAGTTTGTAAGTATATAAATGATTATATATTATATTATTATATATATATGAGATAAAGATGATTGTAGATAAGATTATTGATTGATACTAATAAAAAAAAATAGAGTGATTATAATTGTGTATTATTAATTTGATATTAATTAAAAGCCTGAAATTTTAACTTAATGCTCAAATATAATCTTAGGTGACTTTATATACATGCCAATATGCAAAAGCATGTATGTGAAGTCATCTAAATTAGGAAATTGTATATGAAGTTCTATAAACTGAAATAAAATTTAAATACAAAATAGTTAACAGGACGGTAATAAAATGATTTTGTTTAGGAATAAATAAAAATTTATTAAAAAATAACGTTTTTCTCTGTTTAATCAGTAAGGTCGAAAGGTTCGAAGTCGGTTCTAATCCTTTGCACTAACATTTCCTCGTCCTCTCTGGACATTCCGCAGTCTTTCCATTCCAATCGATCAGGCATATCGAGGACGGGTCCACTGGCCAGTACCTCCCTGGCGAAGTTTATAGGGAAACCCTTCTTCGGCTGTATCTTCGCATACAGAACTTCCCCGGTCGGCAAATCGACGGTGAAGTAGGGCACGTTTCCTGCAATCACCTGATCCAATCTGGCGTGAGACTCGAGCTCGCACATCTCGAAATCGTGTCCTTCAGCTTCCGCCTACAAAATAAAAAACATTATTATTATTATTACTGCAACGTATTGGATATGAAAGAACGCACCATGAAGATGTCTTTTAGTTCTTTCGTGGCGGCTTTGGGTAACGGCACAGCTTGGATCTGCATGTGAGAGGTTTTGTAATTTCTCTCGAAGAAGACTGCAACTTTGTTCTCGCGTTTGTAGAAGCTGCGGACTGCATCTTTGAGTTTGGCGATTTCGTCCACAACGTCCCTTGTTAAACTGATGACGCTCTGGTGATGTTCGATCGGGCATATTAGCAGATGTTCGTCGACCAAACCACCTAGAAGAAAATAAAGTAGTATATACATCTTCAAATTGGTTCAATTTCAAGTTTTACCTTTGGCTAAGGCCAAATAGACGGAATTTGCTACAGTTACGACCAAATGCTTCTCGACTGAAGGACTGGCCAAGCAGAACCAACATTTCGTTTGATCGAAGACAGGTTTTTGCCTCTTCTGTCTGCCCCTACCGCCGCCGCCTCTATTATCTTGACTCTCCTCACTCATATCGAAGAAATACTGTTGAGATTTATCCGGTTTCCGCTTATTCTTAAACACTTAAAATCTAAATTTAACATTTAAAAGAGTTAACCCAAATTCCAATTCGAAACCTTTTGCATCCAATTCGATCAGATTGAATGGACTGTCCGTCTCATCGGTGGTTCTCTGAAGAAGTTCGCTCGGTTTCATTTTATCCACCGGAGTCACGGAGAGCGCGTAAATACACTTCTCCTTTTTCGGATTTCCGAGCCTCGCCAATCCTAAGAAACGCGTGACGACTTGAAGATCTGAATCACCGTTGGAACGAAACGGTGGCCTCTCGTAGAACGTCCCTTCCAAACCGCTTACATGATATCTCGGTTTCAGCTGTGCGCACAACCACGCCGATAAATCTGAAGAGAATTCCGTTTTCTTCTGTAACAACAGTTTCATTCATTCATTATTCATCAATCGCTTCTATTTGTACAGTATTAACTAACGTCTGAGCTTATACCGGTAGGCCATTGAGAGGTCAAGAGAACATCCACACCTTTGTAATTAACATTGGATCTTATGCAAACATCTTTCAAAGTTTTCACATCCTCGATAGTGTGCTTATAACCATTCCCATCACCTTCACCCGACAATCCACTCAGGTAAGCTATCCTCACTCCGGAGCTGCTCATGTAAACTCCTCTCTTCCCTACAAATTAACCATCAAATTGTGATCGTTTAAATGAAATTGCTCTGACCTAAATAAAACAAATTCTCGCATATCTCTGCATCCTCCTCATCCGGATAACATTCACAGTGCTCCTCTTTGTTCGGCCCCAAAATGTAGGTGGGTAGAGGAAGTTTCTTCTCACCTGTCAAGATAGCCTCAAACTCTTTGTTGTTGATCCCGAAGAAGTTCCCTACGCACAGCAGCAAATCGAATGGACCTGATTTGCTGTTGATCGAAACGATTCTCTTGTGGAACAGGTTGAACTGACCCTCGACGTCGCCGCATATAAGGCTGAAAATTATAATAGAAATTCTAAATTTCAAATCTCCCGCCTCGCCTAATCTGGGCCGGCTTCGGATTTGGCAAAAGAAAAGAAAGCCGTGCGAGACGGAACAAAAACTTTCGTTTCCAAAACAGTGTTTGTTTGTTCTTGTTGTTGTTGCTGTCGGTGTTGACCGTCGAGTACTTCTAGACTTTTAATCCAGATATCCGCATTTACTGGAGAAATGGTGAGTAGTGCACTTACATCTTCGTTTTTCCTGCCATTCCCGACGATCATCAATTCATACGAACATATACTTATTTTAACCTTAAAAATCACAAGTTTACCATCATCTACGATGAATGGAATTGCAGAATCTTCAACTCTAAGGGTTGCTTTTTTCGAATTTCGCGCTGTACCAAATTTAGGTTAAATGAAGCTCGTACAACAGATTATCCAGATTTCTTCCAAATCCGCTCTCTTACCATTGCAGATTCCTGTAATTCTTGATCCAAGCGTACCCAAACCTTGGACCAACACGCCATCTATCTTTATGAAACTTGCATATAGATTACCTTACTTACTTCTTAATTTACATATAGGTAACCATAATTACTCGTTAAATTAAATAATTTATTTGAACATTATTATTATATACTTAATTTACAAGCTATAAATTAACTAATTTAACACTAACAAGAAATTAATTTGTTGTATAATTCTCTGTACGATGTACACGCGTTATTCATTGCTTCTATGGTGTTCGAAGAACGTTCGGAATTGCGGTCGTTAATTTTAAAAATCTCCATAGCCGATTCTATATGTTTGAAAGCATCTGAAAGTCTTTGAATGCTGAATTCTTCTATTTCTTCATTCATTTCTTCTTTGATAATGATTCCGTCTTGTATAATACCGATTAGATCTGCGCGACAATTATCATCGGTATCTTCATATTCAACTTTCAAGTTGAAATTGCTCGGTTTCTCCTCGACGAAACAAGGAGTTAAATCATCTAGAAAGTGATTTTGTCTTGCAAGCCTCTTCCTGAATCGGCTGTACCATCCATTGCTTGCGCTGAAAACGTCGTCTTTCGACGGCTTTCCGCGCTCTCTCTTCAGTTCTTCGAATAATGATAATGCTTTAGTGGATATCGTCGCTTGATTTAAAGCACCACCCACAGGTTGTTCCTCTTTCATCCAATCTACAAGCAGTACTTCCATTTGCGGTATAAGCCCTCCGCGTTTTCGAATGATCGTCGTTTGCCTGGACATCGAGCCAACACTTTCCTTCAAGTACGTATCTTTGTTCTTCAGGATCGTGCTTACCGTGGAATGCGATAACTTGAATTTGGTTGCGATTTCTTTCACTTTTACTCCAGCCTCATGGTGTGCCAAAATCTGCAGCTTCATAGCCAAAGTAATCGACTTTCGCCTTTTCTTCGTTTTTTCAATATTCTTCTCATAAAGTTGCCACTTTGCAGACATAATGTTACGCTTCTTTTCACATTCTCAGCACTAGAAACTAACACTGTTAAAAAGTGGAGATCAGCTGATTCACTGTCAATTGAGTAGGTCGTTAGTACGGGGTTCGTCCGTTGAAAGGTCGTAAGTACGGGGTGGGGACAATAAATAATCAATAATCTAATTTGAATCTGCATACATGGAAATAATATTTATTTCAGTCATATTTGCATACAATAATAAAAATATGAACATGTTATCTTCTCCTCCTAAACGGAATGTCGCTGCACACAGACGACTTTTCCTGCAACACGCACCTGAGATCCTTGTTGTGCACCATATGCGTTTCGTAGATGTAGCCTCTAGGACAGTTAATGGTCCTATCGATTTTGGATTTTTTACAAAAGTAAGCTTTGTCACATTTGTATTGATCAACAATGAACTCGTATCCATCTACGCAGTTGGGTTTGTAAGGCAAACAGTCGCTGCTTGCGGTGCACTTTTGGTCTTCGGCACTGAACTTGGTATTAGGAGGACACTGCTGCACCTTCAAATCAATTTTTCCAGTGGCCGCATTTGTCGTGCAGTTGTAAAATTTGTTACAGAAATGTGGCACGTTATACAGACCGACGGCTGTGCATTCTCTGCCCTCTTTCCCATCGTCTTCGGCGCACTCGCTAACATTATCTGGAAAGTCGCATTTGGCGGTGTTTCCGTTAAATTTAGTACACGTATTGCACGTTCTCAAGGCGGCTACGAATGTCCCGAAGTACGCTCTGCAGCTGACGAATTTGGTGCATGTATAGCCAATTCGAAAATTGCCCTCCTTCGTACATTGAAAATCCAGATCCACAGTAGTAGCTGTAGTAGTAGTATCCTCTCCACTTCTTGGATCGGTCATATCAATACCTCCAGAAGCTGTTGTATGACCTGTCTTAGTCGTAGCAGTACCACCTGTTGGAGTTATTTTTGTACCAGCAGTAGTCGTTTCACCGGGTTTGGTTGTACCAGTTCCACCTGCAGTAGTTGTTTCACCTGGTTTGGTCGTACCAGTTCCACCTGTTGGAGTTGTTCCTGTACCAGCAGTTGTTTTAGTTGGTTTTGTGTTACTAGTTGTACTTGTTATATTACTACATGCTATAATTAATTCATATTTGTCAGTTGCTAGTAAGCAATTGTAGTAACATCTATCAGGCAAGTTATGTGCTTTGACAATGATACCTGGTTGTTCGCATTCAATTATTGGTACGTTACCGGGGAAGTCGTTTCTTATAACTATAGTTGGTAAATGACGATGAACACATTTTTTCAGTGCTGGATCAAAAAAGAAGCCTCCTTTCATACATTTCATGATGTACATACTATGTGGATTGCATTGCAAATACATATTCGTTTTTGTTGCATTCGGATGAGGGTAAAGTCCTTGTCTATTTCGATCGCACTTGCTTTTCATCAAGGCGCAATTTACTTTGCCACCTCCAAGTAGTGTTTGACACATCGACGAAGGTTCATCGAATACTTTATCATATCCACAATTCATCTTGACTGGCAACAGCTTTCCCGATTTACGATATTTGCAGATGAGGTATTCACTTAAGGAGGTTGGGGATGGAACCACTTGGTTTTCAGAGGTGCATTTGAATTTGTACCATTTCTTGCCCTAATCATGTACATAAAAAATGTAAATTTATTATCCCTATTAAAGGTTATTTATATATGAAGTTGATTACCACATTCATCAACTTTGGGAATAGTCTTCTTTCGAAGTCATCATGCAGGTCGAGTTGTCCATGGGGATTTTTCCCTTGGCCGATGACACTGGTTAAACCCAATGCTAGAACAAACAGTACGATGTTCATATTTTCAACTGCTGCTTGCCGTGCAAAACCTGCTTTATATTTGTCCTTTTGGGTTCTAGAAAATTGCTTATCGGAGTTTTCGTGTCCTCATGTTAGGAATAAATCACGATTTTTCGTTTCTTCTGGTATCTTTATTGCAACTAAATATTTTCCATGTATTTACAATCATTCTTTTATGCATTTCACGTGGAAATTGCATAGTTATGTACGTGAGTTTCGTGCGTCAAATTGTTAAGAAATAATTAATTGTTAATCTAAGTTATATCAAAAATATTAATAATTATAGGACTATGCTATAAAATGAACGTACAAAATCACAAATCACTTCATATGAGCTATTTAATACTTCAAGTTCTCTCTTCGTTCTACAAGTCCTGGCTAATAATAATAATCCTATTTGTTGCTAAAGAAGATAATACAATTGGGGCAGTAACAATTATATCCATGGTCATACATCATATCAGATTTGTGGATTTATGTCTACATTAAATGAACCATATGTTTTTGTTTCTCTTGTGCTAATAAATACCTAAAATTACTTATTGAACAATATCTTACAACATTCTTCAACACTTCGTCCACCTTCCATGCATGCACGCGACTTAAATACTAATTATTATGATTGCTGTTTGTTCATTGCTGTTGTGGTCCCGGTGAGTGTCGTCTCTTTTGGGAGACGGCAATACTGCGAAGGCTGCGGGATCGTTCGAAGAGTGATGGGTCCGTGTAGATGGGTTCGCTGGGATCCTCGAAAGGTCCACCAGGTGCAGGCAGAGAGCACTCAAGGTCCGAATCTTTGGAAAGACCGGGAAAGTTTCGGGACCTCACAAATCCGTTGAAAGGTTTCTGGAAGCCGCCGCCTCCTCCTCCTCCGAAGATGGATAGCCCTGATCCGCTCCGGGTGGTCGTCGTAGGGGGGTAGGATGAGAGACGTGACGAGGAGGAACGATCTGCTAGGATATTCTTATGCATCACGGACCAGTAGCGTCTGTACGCTAGGCCAGCTAGTAACGATATTGTAATTAGAATGGCGGCGAGTACGAGGATGGCACTAATTAGGCCGTGGTACTCTCCGTTGGTAATACAGACCGTTTCTGTAAGGGGCACCGCCCTTCTGGCCTCCTGCTGCAGTTCCTCCCTGGACTCAAAAACTTCGATCATCTCGCGCACGAACTCTGGCGCTTCGGCCTCCTTCGTGACGCTCTCACTATCTTCATCATTTTCGGCTTTGTTTTGTTGAACAGAAGAAATGGTGGTGTTGTCGTTTTCAGATACTCTCTTCTGCATGTCATCCTCAACACTCGTAACGTTGTTGTTGTTGCTGTCGTTTCCACCGTAAGCTATATTATAGGTACCATTAATGGTTTCTCTCTTCCTGCGACCAAAGGATGGCTCGGAACGACCACTCTGCGAAGATTGACAATATGCCGGTTGACAACCTTCCCTGCAGGATCTCACCGTTGCCTCGAATACCAAGAAGTTAGATTCGGGGATTTTGAACGCATTGAATCGCGCTTCCAGTGTATCTCCGCTCCTGCCTCTATCCAATTCCGGGAAGACGTAACTATCAACCGGACATCTACATCGAACAAGAAATACATAATAGTTGCAAATACTATTGTTGTTATCAATAACATTACCCATATCTATCTATCAGTTGCACCGATCTTCCTGTGTACGGATCTCTTGCTACCACATTCGTAGCGAATATATCCTGCACGTAGTTGTATCCATCCTGCGCCTCCAATCTGAAGGTCAACGGATCTCCTACTGCTATGGTCGTTGTCGGTCTACCTTGGTAAAGGATCATCAATCGCACCTTGTTGCTCCAGCTGTTCTCCGCTGGTAAATACTCGATGGGAATGGGACTTCCCGAACTGCTTAAAATTTAAATAAACGCAAGATTATTTTCGCTCATCATCCATCTATCATCATTTAATCCTTACCCAGCTCCAATGTATTCCGATTTGACTACCGTCTCACCGGGACCTCTAAACAAGCAGGTCAGATTGAACCTTTTGTCCTTTCCAGTCTGAACGAAATCGCTGAACTGGACGATCACGATGTTGGTCATGGTATCTCCGTAGCGTTGGGTGCCACATTCCGGATAACCCTGAGCTCCGCTTATCCTTAGAACATTCAAAGTACCTCCATTGCCCCGGAAGAAGCATCGATCGTAATAGCCGTACGTGTAGATCCTGCCGTAGAATCCTTCAGGCGTCCTTAGAGTAAACTCCATACCGTCTTCATTACACACTTGAGTCACTGTAATGACAATTAATTTTAGTCTTTAATTTTGAGAAATTTCATTATTTAACTTTGAAAAGAATCTAAATCGTGTACAAGAACGGTTGAGGAGAGGATCATTGAATGATTGGTGGTGCCACATGGTTCATTAGCAACAAACTTTTTATAATTTTTATATTTAGCGTATAGATTTAGCAATATATTATGGAATCTTCGTACCATCTAAACAATCTGCGTCACCTCCTTGTCTGCTGTTTGATCTTTCGTAGTAGTCGAAGTTTCCGGTGGTGGTGTCGAAGAACTGCGGATTAGCACCTTCGAAATCGCGTGAATCGCGATCACTCAGTTCGCAGTTCTCACGTTCAGTTTCGAACGGCGGTGGCCCATCTCTGTAAATAATCATCATGATATTTATAAATGTTTTCCAATATCTTTCGAAGTTGTTTATAATTACCGGAAATTAAATGATCTGCAAATGAAATCGCGAGAGTCAAGACATTCCCTCTCGCACTGATCAAGGGTTGTGGCCACGGTGAAACGTCTCACGTAGTCCTTGCGTATTCTTTGCCTGGTTCCGACCTGCTTGAAACTATCCCCGTCGTCGCATCTAGTTGAAAAAGGTCTGTTGTTAACTCCATCGTAGATGGGACCGTCAGGCCCCGGGGAATACGGTCTATGGTGAGCGCCGGAAAATGGTGGTGGTGGAGGTGGTCTTTCATCCGGTCGTGCAGGACGTTCATCGTAAGGTCTTCCGTTTGGTCGACGATCCGGTCTGAAGAACCAACGATTTCCACCATCTCTGTCGTCGCCGTAATAGCTCACTCCGTTCTTGTTGCCGCTGTATCTTCCACCTCCGTAACGATCTCCAAATCTATTCCTATCTCTGTCTCCTCCTCCTCTGTTACTTCCGTAACGATCGCGATCTCTGTCCACGTTGTAACGGTCTCGATCATCGTACCTGTCTTGGTATCCACCTGCTCTCGAAGAAGATGATGGTCTGCTACGATCCGGATACCTCCAATTGTTGCGGCCCGGTAAATAGCGATCATCGTAAGAAGGTCTTCCTCGATCCAAAGCATCGTCTCGGTCGCGATCTCCACCTCCGTATCTGTTGCGAGATGGTGGACTGTACGGCTCATCGTATCTGGATCCTCCTGGTCGATCGTCGTATCTGCTCGGTGGATACGGTAAGTAACCGTCGATTGGTGGTCGATCTCTCGGTATGTACCTGTTGGGCGATGGTGGTGGTGGTGGTGGATAAGGTAATCTGTTATCATCGATTGGAGGATATCTGTCGTTTCCACCAGGTCTAGAATTGTAGTCGGGAAGATATCTATCACCTCCTCCACCTGGACGTCTGTTGTAATCAGGTGAATAACGATTTCCACCACCCGGTCGTCTTATTGGTGGTAATGGTAATCTATCGTCTCCTGGGTATCTGTCGCTTGCCGGTAGGTATCTATCGCCTCCTCCTCCTGGTCTCGACGCTGGCGGATAAGGAGGTGGTAACCTATTGTCATTCGGAAATCTATCATCTCCAGGAAGATATCTATCACCGCCCGGACGATACCTGTCACCGCCATCATCACCAGGTCTATGATTGTAATCAGGTCTTGATGGATAAGATGACCTATCATCTCCTGATGATGGATACCTATCATCAGGTCGAAATCTATCTCTAGACGGAGGAAACCTATTATCGTCGCCTTGATTTCTGTTATCACCACCTCCTGGATAGTACCTATCATCCCAGGGTCTACCACCACCGGGCCTATGCCCATCATCGAATCCCGGTCGTCCGGAAGGTCTTCCAGTTCCTGCACCAGGTCTGTAAGGTCTTTCTCCCGGTCTTTGAGTGCTTCCAGCATCCGATTCACCACCAACTGCAATCAAATTTAAATACAAATTATCATCACAATGGAAATAGTTAAGTTAAGTCAACTTACGCATTAAATTTTCGTAGTAATCGTAATCCGCATCGTAGATAATCCTCATGCCATCCTTCTTGTTGTATTTGCTCAATCTGCAAGTCCTGTATCTGTCGCTGTACACGGCCGATCTGCATTGGAAGCTTGGCTGCCTCAGGCACTCGTCCAGGCATTCGCTCAGCGATCTTCCCGACAACTCGGATTGATGCTCACCGCCCAAGCGACTGTTTCTGTACCTCTGGAAGGCGGTGTCCGGTCGTTTCCCAGTGAAAAGATGTGAAGTGACCGAATTATCCGGATACTCGGATCCTCGAGCTGCGAACGAACCATTCTCTTTACACCGATAAGAAATAGGCGACAACACTGAATTGCTTATAACTTACGACTATCCAAGCAGGCGAAATCGTAGAAGTGATGTGTGGGGCTGCTGCTGACGCCGATATCGTCCTTCTGCGAAACGGAATCCTCCTCGGAGACGGTGCACTGTTTAGTCATCTCGTCGTACTCGATGGAGCGGCAAAAGTACTTTTCAGCGCGAACGCACATCGCCTGGCAGTCCTCTAATGTGATGTTGGTGAAGAAGTCCACTTCGAAGGGTCCGCCTAGTCGCTTATTCTCCTCTTTAATGAAGACCGCCAAACCGTCGCATCGACGTTCGGCTGAAAGAAAATGGAGATTGAAGAATACCAAATAATAATATGTAGATGAGTTTTAGTTAAACAACCATTGAGGCATGTGTTTTCCAAGTAATCAGAGTTGGGGTCATCCTCAAGCATCTCCGGGTGGGTGCGACGGGTGAAGCGACTCAGGGTGCACATGTGCATGTCGGCGTCGAAGGTGGCTGAGCGACAAACAAAGCTGAACTCGTTCAGACATTTATCCTCGCATTCGCTGCGATTCGTGGCCGCCATCTCCTTGACATCGGCTGCAGGTAGCTTCAGCTTTTTCCGAGGATGTCGCTCGAAGATGTACCGTCTATTTGGACACTCCCTCTCTGGACGGTTAGCTTTTGAAGTAAAGATTAAGCGTGAGAGATGTATTTTGTGATTGCGCTGAAAATTATTTACAAGTGATGCAGATTTCTGTGAAGTGCACGCTGTTTGGGACCAGCACCAGGTTACCGATGCCTTCGGGTCTTCCCTGTTCTCTAGTTAGGTAACAGGTAGACTCCTCGTACTCTGGTCCTCCGTTGAAGTTGGCTATTCTGCTTCCCGGCTGAAAATCGATGGAGGTGCACGTTCTCACTATATTGTTGGAAGATCTATCGCGTATGCAGAGGTCTTGGCATTTCTCTAATACCATGAAGGGTGGTGCAGTGTCCCGGACTATGTCATCGTCGAAAGCTTGCAGCTGAGTGTTGGGCAATCGTTCGTACATAACTTTGCCGTTCATCGAGCCCGAACCGCACGAAGTTTGAGCTGAAAATCAAGAATTGATTAATGACGGTACTATTACCACTTTTATATTACAACTAGTTAACCTTTGGTCATCATCTTGAGGACTGTGAGTACAGTGATTGCTTGCACCATGCTGGGGATGAAAGGGTTTCTTCTCATTTTGATCCAGTTGGGTGTGATACGAGGAGGGTGTTTGCTCGGGGAAGCAGCACACTATCCGATCATAATCCTGGAAACAGAGAATCGAATGTTGTTCTTTACCATCAGATAGAAGAAGAAATTAATAATTTGAAGTAACGGCAGCGGCGACGGCTGGATCGATTGTGAGATGAGATCCCGAATCGATGGACGACGGATGCTGAATGCGGCTGCTGAACTGTTGGGAAGCGAGCTCTTCTCTTGTCCCATCGTTTCATTCGTTCGGACAAAAGGGACCGGAAACTGTCATATCCTGGTTTAGAAATAAGCTCATGGTACTCGCACCGCGCTATCTCTCCGTGTCCATCGGTCAAACGCATCCATCCGCGACACCCAATGACACATTCCTTCTCTTTTCGTCGTACATCACTCGCATCGTACCATCATTCACTATTTTTGTTTGTACTACCTGTGCTTCTGTTGCTGCTGTTGTTGTTTGTTGTTCACTTTTAATAATCGCACGCGATCATATATTTCACCGCTGCTTATTATCATTATCATCCGCATCCCAATGACCTTATCCGAAAATCCCGCATCCGCTCCCAATCCATCCAAACAACTAACAAATATTGTCAACATGTTTGCATTACCTCTAGATGGTCCTCAAAACTTTTGTCAAGAATACCAACGACTGTTTTACATCGAGATTGAATCTAACATTTTAATTTTTTAACCTTATTGCCCCTAGGTGGTTCTCAGAAATTGTCAAGAATATCATTAAGAACAATGATTGAAATTACCAGCTTCATGTCATAGAATTCAGATGTTATTTTGATTAAATAATGTATTTTATTTTGTTGCAGAGCGCATTCAAAACTATCGGTACACGATTCTTTCGTCAGGCTTCCCGCATTTTGACACAAAATGTTAAAATTACGGCGACAGCACCCCGGGCTCCTCTCCATCATTGCGTCTTCCACGGAGAATCTTATGACGACGTCGAAAACAGGTACATGTTGTTTTTCAATCTCTCTTACATTAGATATATTTGTGCCGTCAATTTTTATGAATGTTTCGAAACTATTTGTTGTATATTTTTAAAGTAATTGGCCATCAAATGCAATCACAATCTATGATTAATTCCACATTGACGTAAACTCGGCTTATCCTAATGTTGTGTATTGGGTCAAATATCGTTTGCAATCTGAAAACACTTTTGTTGGTGGTTTTTTTTTTGTTTTCCTTTCTTTAAGAATGTGAAATAATAATAATGTTAGTAATTGTTCGAGCAAACGGAGATAAAAAGAAATGTGCGTGCGTTCTCTGCGTCTATATTTAGAATCCCCCGCTTAATTACGACATACAAATCTTATCTTGCCCGCTTCTTACAATAATTACCAGAGCAGAAGACACTACACATCAGATGATTTTCATCTTCTCATTCTTTCTCTTTTTTTTTATTCGATCTTTTTCTTTCTTTCTTTCTTTCTTTCTATATCTCTCTTTCTCTCGTGTTTGATAAGATAAATATTATGCAACTAGCGCTCAAGTGGAATTAAACTGGATGGAAAAGTTTCGCTAATTGTGCTAGGCCAATTAGCAAGCTAACAAAAAATAATAAATAAATAAAAAGCAAACACTGCTCGATTCTACAGAGACACAACACTTGTTGAAGAAGTCATTTAACACCTGCGATCTTCTAAAAATAAACGTCTCTATTTATTAGTTTCGAGGTTACGTCAATAATAGCGAACCGAAATTAGTAATTTAACTTTGCAGAAAATTGTATAATTTTATCGTTTGATTAGTTTTCAATGTACGCAATTTTCGTTTACATAATTACAACATACACCCACACAAATATGGATGTTGTCAGCGATTTTCTAGGCTAACTCTAGTCGTTGTCCCAAAAACCAATTTCTCTTTATAATATTTTGCACATTGCGTACAATATATTTTCTACTTTTTTGAACCAGTTCTTGGTAATTATTATTCTAATAGCTCTGTTGTTAGAATATAGTTTGTAAATTCAAGTTTTTTTTCTTAATGATTTTTTTTATGTGAAATTAACTTTTTTTCTCTCTCTCTCTTTCTATCTTTGAATAATATTTGCATATCACAATTGGGTTAATAATCAACGTGTGTAAACATACTTTAGGAAAAACACGAGGATTATTGTTATTTATTATTAACATATTTGTTTTATCTCTAAACGTTTATTTTTTTTTTACTACTTTATTTTTGGTACTGTAGACAAAAGTTTATTGATAAAAATCGGTTGTAGAATCATCTACAAAATTCAGTAAAAATATGTACTTGGAACACTTTTTGTAAGTCAATTCTTGTATTTTAAGAACTTTTAAATATGTTTTTCTTTAGAATCGTTTACTTTCTATTGAAATAATTTGAATCTATTTTAAAACTTCTAAATATATTAAGAAGTTCCAAACATTAAAAATAACTGTTGATTTATTATATACTATATTTTCGTTGAAATTGAAATTAACTTCAGTGAAACAACGTTTTTCAGTATTTCATGACATATTTGAAAATATATTTTTTTGAAAAATATGAATTGTAGGATTTTCAGTTACTGTTATTGAGCGAGATTTTGTGTCCTTTATGTTGACCAACACCCCCAATGCCCATCTTTCACAGGTTCATCGACTTCTTCAATAGACCGGACATCGACGGTTGGGACGTTCGTCAAGGTATTAACGACATACTCATGTTCGACATGGTGCCCGATCCGAAGGTGGTGATCGCCGCGTTGTACGCCTGCCGTCGCGTCAACGATTACGCCATCACCGTGCGCTTCTTGGAAGCCGTCAAGAACAAATGCGGATCGTTGGAGAGCCAGATCTACCCGTGGATGATACAGGAGATCGCACCCGTCCTCTGCGAGCTCGGCGTCGATACCCCTGAAGGTCTGGGATACGATCAGCCCGAGCTGCATCTGGACAGCGTCTTCGACATGCACTGAACAACCACCGTTCAAGAGCAGCTTCAATATTTTGCTTCAAGTTTATTTGTTTGTTTGCCTGCACTCTCACAAAAGGGTCGTTTCTATTGAATTATTCATTCACGATGATTGTTTTTCTTCTCTCGTCGTACTAAAAATACCGCACATCTGACCCATGATCTTTGGACATTTTTGCTCTATGAGAGTATAAATAGAAAAACACACGACTACTTTGAACCATTACGTCCCATTCAGATTTCGACTCGAATTAGAACCAGAAATGTAAGTAGTTATAACATACCTTCGTCAATTCAAGAGTTCTAAAATCAATTAGTTATCTATGATACTTAAATTTTTAATCAAGAATCGTATCAAAAATACAAATATTCATCATCATCACAAGATATTTTGAAATTACCTCTATTCAACAAATACTCATTGATCATTAAAACAACGTATGTGAACGTAATACTCTTGAATAAATCTAATACTAGTTGTTCAAGTTTTGTAACAGTTAATTTGATCTTAGTGAAAACCAATCAAATTCTAAACAATTATTGATCACTCACCGGTTTGTAACTGAATGCTGCTGCTGCGATTTCGCGTCCGATTTGGCTTTAACTCCTTCCAATCACTGATTTTTAAATGTATTTTTCAAAAAAAATAATCAAATATAAACAAATTAAAATGGTACGGTGCACCAGAAGAGACGAGATGAGATGGGTCGTGTAATATTTGGGGTATTTGAAACCGGACTGTCGATGTCGAAATGTCGACGGTTAATTTTATACGCGAATAATTCCCACCACCGACGAAACACGAGATTCAGGGGGAGGGTAGGTGTGATGTGTGTAAACTCTTCACGAGGGTCAAGATTGTGCTTCTACTTCTTCTTTGTTAATTAGTGAAGGTGTCGTACTTACAAGTGTCTCCCGAAAGTGCACCAGATGATGATGATGATGATGAACCTGCTGATATGCGGGATTCGATTGTGTGAACTTTTTTTGTGTGTGTGTTTTTTTGTTGTTTTTGTTGTCCTCTGTGATGATGGAGGTGGTGGTGTTGGTGGGTGTCGGTTTCTGTGTGTTCGTGTGTGTGTGTTTTTTTTTTTGCAGAGGTATGAGAAGAGTAGGCCTTGTTCGGATCCGGTTGGGCTTTTGTCCTCTGCTTCCGGGAAAGCCAGTCCAGTTCGGGTCACTGGATGGTCATTACACACACATAAATACACGCGTGCACATATACACACGATTGATTGTGCAATATGAGATGAAAGAGTGGATCAATTAACGCGTAAATCACTTTCTTTGCGTTTAAATATCTTTGCTTTGAGTTTGAAAATGTCATTTCAGATGTTAGTTTGTTCTCCCCTATCATTAATGAAATCTAGTATCTAGTAGTATTGTTTTTTTCATTACCAATACTTCATAACTTTAAAAGATAAAGACTAACTTTCGCAGCTTTCAGGACTCACTACATTCGCCCATCGTAAATGATATGTTTAGGAAACTTCAATAAAATTCTATGAAATATTACGAATATTACGTTAAAATGCGAGCAAAACGAGTCCTGAAAACTATTTATTAGAGAATGTATACTTTTTGTATACATTGGTATACTTTTTGTCTCGATTCTCAATAAATCATGAATTAAATCAATTGAATTGTAGTAAGGTAATCTCAAAAGTTTAAAATAAGAATTGAGAGATTTGTTTTAGTTTTCAGTAAATCAACTTCAGTTGTGTCAATAATAATAATAATATAAACTATTAGGAAAACCCAACGTTTACGTACGTAATTCTCTAGTATCGCTCACTTGATAATTTAATTGCATTGAAAAATTTCTTCTTTTATTTTTTGCTCCTGCTTACGCAATCGTTGTTTATAAAGACAGAGAGAGAGAGAGAGAAATTTCGTGTTTCGATAATAAAATTAAAAGTATTACGATGTTGTGTTTGACGGTAATTGCAAGTAAAATTGTTATTTTGAAGCTTCGCATCAAAGATAAAATACATTATTTTAACATTTATGGTTGTTTTCGTCAAACAAGTGATGATTATTAAACACTCTGAAAATAATTGCAAGTTTTTTTTGGGTGTTTATGCAGTGTGATGGAAACAACACAGGCACATAGACAAAAAGAAGGTATGAATCCGATTCGGAATCGATTTCGATCGCATGATCGAAACACAAAAATAGAGGTGTAATTGGATGCGATGTACACTTCCTGGTCATTAAATGAGAAAATGGAACCGGTAAATGCAGCGATTGTGTCGTGTGCGAGAGGATAATAGTAATAATACAAAAAAAAAAAGAAATACACTAAAACTAAAACCGAACATGGAAATAATAAAATGGAAATTGTTGAACGTCAATTGGCGAATCGCGATTAAATGTGTTCATTACTTCGATGATGATGAAGAAAAAAAAAATAATAATTTTGTTGGTAAATGATATTATGAAGTAGTAGTAGTAGTGATACCAGATCGAGATTAGATATAGTTCACAGTTACGCAATTAAATTGTTATCTATATAGTAGTTAGATTTTTAATATTTTGTTGGTAATAGGTACATCATGTTTTTGATCTGTTACCAACTGGATTCAATTGTTATTAATTACTGTGATTTGCAAAGCCTCCGCTACCGTGCAATCCCTTTTTTTCGCATTGTTCTTTCATTTGTTATGCAAATGTCGGTCAATAAAACGGCCCAGGGTTAGCGAGAGACCTTCGGAGATGATTAATTAGTATCAAACGGTGCAGGAAGTGTCGATGGTGGTGGTGGTGTTGGTCATCCTGCGATTCGGAGAATGTCAAAATTGATTTCCCATCTAAGCAGACTATTTTTTTTTTGTTGTACTCGCGTCGAGGCCAATCTGTCACCTGTCTCCATCCGGGGTTTAATTACCCCAAAACGCGCGCTCGTTCCTGCATCGCCAACTCTGAAATTATATTCTCCTCCTGTTGTCATGGAAATCCTGCAGTTGCCATGTACACACAGACACACGCATTAGCATACGACGAACCTATCGTCTCTCAATTAACTCCAATAAGCACGTGTTTCAAATATTCAACGGACAATGAATATTTTATTCTAAATTTTTGCAAACAATCACAAATATCTATATTCGCATAAATGTCAAGTTCGAATAAATGCAATTGTTTTAATAAAAAAAAATGAATCGAGTTTAAAACGTCAAAAATGTATACTTGTGTAGAAACTAAGTCAAATTTTAAATTGTTTCCAAAATATTTTCTATTTGCAGCTGAAATTTTATTAAGAATTATTTGTTTGATTCAAATCAAATCAAAATTGTGAACTTTCCCAAAAACGAGTCAATGTTTGTTATAAACATTAATAGAAATGCATAATATAAATGTTGTCATGTAAATTGTATGGTTGCTATGTAAAAAGTGTACAAATTTTAAAATAGAAATTGATCGTTTAGCAGCGAAACCAGTTAATTTAAATAATCACGTGTTTCCTTGTTTATTTTTTATTGATTTCAATAAGACAATGATTTTTGTTATTGGATTCAAAATCTGTAATATTTTCAATTGATTATTTTGAATCTTTTTTTTGCGAAATTCGTAGATGATTCATCGAATCCATAAAAACAATAACAACTCGTTTATAGCCTACTACGTTTGAACAATCCAAACAAAAAAAATAATAATAATTTCATAAGATTTCGTTACTAAATGTATTTGCATACTTTTGAAATTTGTAAAATTGTACGCAAATAAATTCCTCAAATAATCAAAATTCTTCTCTGTTTTTTTTTTGGTACATAAATAATAAACACTTATTTATATCTACCGTTTATTTTCGAATAAACAGTAGAATGCAATTCGCAGCAGGCTGCGATTTCGTTTTCGCGCACCGGTAAAAAGATAGCGTATTTTGATAACAAAAAAAACAAAAAACACGAATATCACGCGACCTCAACGTGCATCTTGCAAACGAAACGCAAAACTATAAATATGTGAACAACAAAAAAAAAAGAGAATTCGCCCCGAATTACAAATTAATTTGTTCATTTCGATGTTGTTAAGCTCATCAGAAACAAACACTATTGGTTGCTATGTTTGCTGTGAACTATTACGTTACCATGGGAATCTGTTGATTTTTTTTTATCGGTGATGTTATTGTTTTTGCTGTTGTCGGAACGCGGGATTCCGCATGGCTCAATTCTCAGTCCTAGTTCAATAAAATGAGGATTTAGGTATAATTATAATTCGTCATAAACAACAACTCTACAATCCTTCAAATGATCTTTTTTTACTCTAAAACTAACATTAGTGATGAGCAACCAATGGTTTGCAGGCGGACCCGAGTATTAGAACCAATGAAATTGTTAAGAGCGAAAAAAGCCGGACGTTGCCGATCTCTCTTCTAGCGTTTGACGATATATAATTTGAATGTACTCAAGATAATTTGCTATGAAATAATTTTTATTGATTCTGTTTATCTATTGATAAACTTAAATTAAAGTAACTAGTTTCAATGCAGCTACGATATATGTGTTGGCATATGTGCAAGTATCAATATTTAATAAACAACAAGTATGTTTGTTGCAGAGATTACACGCGTTTGATTGAAAAAAAAAAGAAAGAGTATCGAATGAATATGTGATTCAATAATGGTAAACGCATGAATAATGTAAACTGAATCATATCATTTGTTTTATTGTACTTTTGTTACGTACTTGATAAGTTACTTGGAAAGTATCTAATGTAAAAATCAAATATTTCAAGTTTTACTATCAGAATCAAGTATTGAGTTGAGCAAGTATTAATATTTAATAAACTATGGTTACTATAGAAACTATAGTAATTTATATTGAGATTCCACATGTTTCGATTCTGTGTCCACAAAATTGAATAAACTACTAGTGATAAGTTAAAGTGGAGGTGTTCTTATCACAAGCGAACGATATTAGACAATTGTCGTCGAGTAGTGTAGTTTGTTGTGTGTATTACGAATGCGTGCGCCTGCAGTTTTCTCCGCACCACTCTTGGAAGTCCGTATAAAGTGCGAACCGGCTCGGTGCTTGAGACCAGTTCTGTTCTTAGTTTCGATTCAGCGCGTCCTCCACACACCGTTCGTTGAATTGATTATCCAACATCAACAACAACAACAACGACGACAAAAACACTCATAGACCAGATCAACGAGTTTTTTATTTTTTTTTTTCATCTCCTATAAAGCGTCGTTCTTGTCTTGATCCTCCGCATCAAGTAAAAGAGTTTTTCAAAATCAAAGTTGTTTTGTTTTGTTGTTGGTTGTTTGATTTTGTTGGGCGCAAGATGCTGGTGGGTGGTAGATCCGCGAGTTGCGCCCTCGGCAGGCAACTGTCCAGAAGGCACATAAGCAAAACGGCGAGCACCCCGAACAGCGACGCCATCTCCAGAGCGCAGAAGATACAGACGCCCGAGGTTCAGGTGCCCCAGAGCAAATGGGCACGGCTCAACAAGCACAACAACAATAGGTGAGTGTTGTTGTTGTTGTTATGGTGATGATCTTCGTAGATGGATAGACGGTTGGCGTGGCGACGGAGGAGGAGGAGGAGGAAGAAAGGCCAATGACTCAACGACCCATCGCGTTATGGGTGTGCATCTCTTGCATGATGCAGAAAATGTGTCTACGTGACTTTCGGTGCGTCGCGCCCAACAGCAGCAGAGGCGGCGGCACTCAACGAGCACGTGCTTCCTTTGTTTACAAACAAACGGGTCGGCACAACGCCGGAACCCCGTGGAACACGCCCCTCGAGATACCGCTAAATTTGCTCTCCATTTATTACTTTTAATCACTTAATCGCCAATTTTAGGACAAACGAGTCACTGACCCCCCAAATATATGTAAATATCCGTTTCAATTAGGAACAAAAATAAACTTGTTACTTCGCCGCGCGCCAATTATAAAGAATCAACAAGTTTCAGTGTTGTAAATTGAAATAATTTAAATACGATAAGCAAAGCAAATTGTCCGTAAACACAAATCCCCGACAAGTACAAGATTTCAATTATTAAATGTTGATAACAAATGTTGCAAATATTTCAATAACTTGCAGCGATTTTCGCAATAATAAGTTAATAATTTAAGTTGCTTGTTATTAAACACGAAAACACCATTATTATACGAAAAACATGTTCGTCGTAAGTAAAAATAAATTTAACAAAATTCTTTATAATAATAATAATAATTAAGAAACTTATCCAAATAAATATTTTCATGTATCAATGTTTCAGCAATACAAAACCAATTGATAAGAAATATTGAAAGTATAATTCGAATGATTAACAAAGCAGAGTGTTGAATTTATTTACATTTACGTTTCTGTTTTATGCGCGAGATATCCGCCAATTATTTTTGCACAATGCGAATTTTTCTAACGATTCTAACGATTTTCGATCGCAAAAAAAACTAATTAATATTTAAGTATATTTTTCTTTCTCTTTTGTTTTTTTAATAACTTTGCAAATAATCAACATGTTGTTAAACGATTCATTTTTGTTTTTTATGTACCATACAATTTTTGCATATTGCAATTACAATGCGGCAGAATCGAAGCAGCCTGTAATTACGGTTTCATTTTTAATGTTTGTTTCATTGGAAAAGCTTGTAATTTGATTTGTATTCTTTTGTTTTGTTGTAGGGCTTTGTCAACTTTGCAAACGAAGATCGCGCCGGCCGAGAAGGGTGTCTCCCTCGTATCGAAGGACGAGAGTCGCGAGTTCATGGCGATCTTCCCCGACATCGTGCGGGATCTGACCGACGCGGGACGTCACACCGACATCCCGGAGGTGAACAAATGGTACACGAAGGTGCTCCAATACAACGTGCCCAACGGCAAGAAGAACCGCGGTCTGGCCGTCGTCGCCGCCTACAAGATGCTCGAGGAGCCCGAGAACCTCACCCCGGAGAACGTCAGACTCGCGAACATCCTGGGATGGTGCGTCGAAATAGTAAGTACCTAATGTTACCATAGAAACCAAACATTTATCGCCGAGGTCAAGCAACCATCATCAATTGACGCAAATCGAATCACAAATGCTTTTTTTTTTATTATTATTAAATCCGTTTATTTTCGGACCGGCTTATCTGTTTCTCTTATTCCACACACCAACAATCTCGATTGGTCTTATGTAATATGTCAATATTTTGAAACGGCCGTTATCTTTATCCAGTTTATTTTTGGATTATTTTCGTATTTCATTAACACTTTTGGAAGAAAGTCCATAGAATTGAACATCCTCAATTGTGGTCTATAAACTGTCTAGAGTTTCAAACAAATTCAGTTGGCATTTCTTGTTAGCACTTCCAATGTAGTCTGTATACTGTATCAACATTTTGTTTTGTGGCGTTACGTTTATTTGCATTTTCCAATTTGGAATACCGCATGGATCAATTCTGGGTTTATTTACCATATATTAAAGTTGGATTCTCAAAAAACTGCGCATTTACTTACAATGTGAAACTAGTTTCATTTTTTTTTGCTTGCTCGTTTATTTACATAATACATCGTATGATTTTCTCGATAACTGTTTATGTATGATAGTTGTATGCGAGAGATTCCGGCATAAATTTATATATATTCTATATTTAACATTCTGGTTTCATGATCTCTCCCGCTTTTATAGCCCGTCTCTCTCTCTCTCTCTCTTTTGATGATCGTTCACTGATTTTGTTTTAATACATTTGCATACACACTCTACGTTTATTTCTGAGCGTTAATGAGACTCGCCAAATCATATAATTAACATACAGCCGCTCTCCGTCTCCTACTTATTAATTAATTAATTAATAAATACTTTTGAGTCGCGTTTGAAGCGAGCTGCCGTTGGAATTATTTTCGGATTACAGGGCAAGACACAAACAAACAAAACAAACAACAGCAAAAAGAAATAAGGGGAAAAAAATAAATTAGAAAAGCTCGACCGGAATTACCGGTTTTTACTCGCGAAACCGTTTTCTTCTTGGGTCGTGGACTGCGAAGTATTGTGTGTGTGTGTACGAGTGAGTGAGTATATTTGTATGGATGTGTATCTTTGTATACGTGCGAATATATTACGAATGCCTACTGGGAATGCATATTTATCACACATGAGAAATATAGGGGGAGAGACGAGAGGTCGAGCACGTATGCATTCGACTATCCGCGCGTTGCGTAATCGAGCGTGGTAAACAACAACAACAACAACAACGGCGACTGCGGAAACTACAAATAAGAAAAAAACAATTGTTGTCCATCCACGTCGTAGTCATAGCAACCGGTGTTCTTTACGTTAGAAACGTATGCGCTTTGCTGCGCATTCTGATATTTATTAATGAAATGATGCAACAAGTGGTCTTTGCCAACACAAAGAGACAAACAAAACAATGCACTTATATCGTAATGCGTAATTTCGCTTATACAAAAGTCGTCATCGTATTTAATGCGTCCGTTTGTTTTCTTACTGACTCGTGCGATGTATATTTAAATATTGTTATGAATGATCAATTTTCAATAGAAAATCAAAAAGAAAACTAGTTAGACTCTAATCTTGGGTCTGATTTGGTTGTTTAGGAGTTTATTGGATGAGATTAATTGTTTTTTTTTTGTCATTTTATTCGCATGCTTAGTTTACAGTAAGTAGTAACATTGATAGTGGTGGTAATAATAGATTGAAGATCGAATTGAAAGTAAATTGTCTAGCGTTTGTTCTATGTCTTTTGAATAGAAATTTGCGAAGGATCATATTTCTGTGTCTAAAAGAAAGAAAGCTCGGGACATTGGAAGCGTTTACACTTCTGGTTGAACGTGCACACCTCACCTAGAAATTATCTTCGTGTTATGTTTTTTTTTTGTTTTTTTTTAAATAGATTTTTTCCATTTTTTTTTTTGTTTGTTGTTGTTGTTGTATTTTCGTTTTACTCTGGTTCGTTGAGACGAAGACGAGCAAAGTCCTCGAAGACGATGTTGTCGTCGTCGTCGTTTGCATAGCAGCTGCTCTCGTATCGGGCCCTGTCGATGGATTTCATCTTCTTGAGGGCCTGGCTCTTCTCCTTGTCGAGCATTCCGGGCGCCGGATGGAGGAGTTTCAACGGCACGTCGGTGCTGAGTTCGCCGCCCAGCGTGCCGCAGTTGAGTTTCACGCGTAGCGAATAGGAGATGACGATACCGATGGCCTCGACAGGGCATTTACCTTCGGGGACGAGCGTGGAGCTGGCCAAGTTGACGTCGTCATCCTTGAGGTGACCGTCGAGGGCGATGCCTCTGCGATCCTTATTAGTGGACGCGACCGGCACCAGGTAGATGCACTTGGTGAAGGAGGCGCCCGGTGTGATGGGACAACCTTCGCGCGTCTCCAGACTTGCGACGTACTTGGAGAATTGCCCGTTGACCATGGTCACCTCGCAATGCTGCACCACGTAGACCTTGATGTTCTTCACCGCTTTGCGCGAGGTATTGTTGATGACGACGTTGGCGCCGATCTTCTCGCCGTGATAATAAATCTCCTTGTCGAGAGTGACCTCCAGATTGATGCGTCCGTTCGAGAAGGTGAAGCCCTTGGAGACGAGCGAGCTGGGAAGACGACGGCCGCGCGAGCTCGGCGCGTACTGCAACTTCTTGATGGCCAGCGTCACCGAACTCCTCTTGTGACCCTTGTCCTCCTCGTTGTCGCCGACGAAGATGCGGATGCTGTACTCGACGCCGAGCGGTTTACCGGTATCGTCTTCACCGGGTTGAAGAGTGACCGAGCACGGCGCCATCTGCGGGAACTGATAAGTGAAAGGGTACGCCGTGGAGCCCATCTTCTTGATGAGCTTCTCCTGGATCGGCGTCAGGTTGGGTTTCTCGTTGCTGCGGCCGTTCGCATCCGGCACGATCTGCCCGTTCGCGATCGTCATTTCCTTGCTGAACTTGAGACCCATGACCTCGTCCTCTTCCCTGCCGTACCGGTAGGTCGAGACGACCTGCCCGTACACCTTTCTGCCCTTGAGGTAGTCATCCTCGACGACGACGACTCCATCGATGGGATCGATGTGGGTCAGGTGATCGATGAAATCGCGTTTCCCTAGGTACACGGTGACCTTACCATTCGGTGTTGTTTTCTTGAAGACTTTAACCGCAACCACCATTGGAATGTTTTGATTTGATTACGCTTTTTCTTTGCTGAATTGCTTCCCGCTGCACAAGCGACTCGGTTTAATTGGGAAAAAAACGAAGACTTCTCTCTGCACTGACTGAATTTCTTCGGATAGGTGCGACTGTTCACACCAGAAGTGAAGTCATCAACGTCGAGGCTCGCATATAAATACCACCGCTGCATTGAAAAGGCTTTACCTTCTCATAATTCAATTTACATCCCCTAATTGGATTTTACCGCAACGTAACATTTAATCTCTTCTATTGACGTGCATAAAGTTAATAATCGTATGTAATTGAGATATATTTCGTTTTTTTTTTTCAGCTGCAAGCCTATCTGCTGATGATCGATGACGTGATGGACGGATCGAAGATGCGTCGCGGCGCTCCCTGCTGGTACCGCAACGCCGGCGTCGGCCTGAACGGCATCAACGACGCCCTCATGCTGAACGAGGGCATCTACGTGATCCTTCGAAAGCACTTTGCCCATCTGCCCTACTACAGAGACTGCGTCGAGCTGTTCCACGAGGTCTCGATGAAAACGATGATGGGTCAATCTCTCGACATGATGACGTCCAATACGAGCAGCCCATTGAACCTGGACTCCTTCACGATGAAGCGATACAATTCGATCGTCAAGTACAAGACTGCCTACTACTCCTTCCAGCTGCCTGTCACCCTAGCCATGCATATGGCCGGAAAGAACGACCCCGAGATCCATCGACAGGCCAAGACGATCCTCCTCGAGATGGGCCACTTCTTCCAAGTGCAAGACGACTTCCTCGACTGCTACGGCGACCAAAACGTGATTGGAAAGACGAACGCGAACGACATCTACGAGGGAAAATGCTCGTGGCTGGTGGTCGTCGCGCTGCAGAGGGCGACGCCCGAGCAGAGGAAGATCCTCGACGAGAATTACGGTCGTCCAGAGCCGGAGGCCGCACAGGCCGTCCTCAAGTTGTTCGATCAACTAGGTCTGCCGACGACGTACGCCATCTACGAAGAGGAGACCAACAATCTGATTCGCACCCACATCCAGCAGATATCCAAGGGATTGCCCCACAACCTCTTCTTCAAGTTCATGGACAAGATCTACAAGAGGGAGAGTTAAACATCCAAGTATTAACCCGAACTTACTCTTCCTCAACAACAACAACAACAAAAAAACACCCACCTCCCTAACCCTCCTTCAAAAAAGAAACCACTTGTTTTAAAACATGGTATATATATATAAAAAAAAAATCAAGTGTGTGATGCGTGTGTGATATTTTTTCTATGATTAGAATGAATGATGTGTCTGTGAAAACTCCTTCTTTCTACTCTCCTTAATTAGGTTTAGTCTATTATTTTCTTTCTTTCTTTCTTATTTCATCAACCTTCGAAAACGAGTGAAAAAGAGAAAAGAAAGAGAGAATGAAAAAGTTATTGTTATTATTGTATCTTCTTATTTTAAAGGATTTATTATTATTATTATTCTTGAAATGCTTCTTATTTCCTTTGTATTCTATATATTATATATACTATAAACCGAAGAGAGAGAGAAAAAATAGAACATAATTAATTTCTTTACTAATACTACATTCCTCAATATTCCATCTATGTAATTCAAATAGAACGAAATCGATTAATTCTATAAATTTATTAGATCTCAATTTCTTAAATGATAAGAAAAAAAAATAAATTAAATACATTTCTATACAAACTAATTAATATTAGCTTAAAGTTTTGTGTTATATGAGTTTATATTAATTGCATAATACATTTTGTAAAAATCTAAACGGATTAGTGTATATTTCTATTTGGATTAACGTGCGAATAAAGTTGCCTACGACTGATGGTTACCATAAGAAGTAAAAAAAAATGCGTAGAAATTGATGCCAATTGGAGAAAAAGAAATATTTTTTTTTGTATTTAGAAATCAATGCAATCATATTCCGGTAGATTCCATTTCTTTAAATAGTTTATAATTGTCTATGTTTAAATTTGAATTTGCTGTTTCTACAAAAATAAGAATTTTAATAAACAAAAAAAATTATACATTTTTTTTTAAAATTATATATCACATAGATTCAATTTGTTGCATTATCTAATTATTATTAAAGAATTTTAAAACAAATTTCAATTTGTGTTTGTGGGGTTGCAGCTATTTCGCCAAACTTGAAATTGCAATTCCAATTGGAATCTAGTGTTGTCTATTTTTTTTGTTGTTGTTGTTGCTGAAATAACGTTTTGATAGTTAACGATGAAAATTGCTGTGAATTGAAGGGCGGTGAAATTTAGGCGGGAAACGTTTTGAATTTGGCGCGCGGAAGGGCAGGTAACTGTAAAAAGCAAAGGTAAAAAAAAAAAAAAAAGTTGACAGCTCCCGAGAGGTGATTGTAATGGCGGAATCTAGTTGGACAATAACAATTTTCTAATAAGACAATTCGACTCTGTGTGCAGCGGTGGAAAGAATCCGGTGCGGCCGAAGAGACGAAAAGGAAAGGAAAGGAAGAAGGCGAGTGCAGAAACAGTGGAGGATCGAAGAGGAAGGAAGGAAGGAAGAAGGGCCGAGCACCGGGAGGCAGCAACATATATAGATATATACACGTTTCCCTCCTGCCCTCTCTCACCCCCCCCCCCCCGCAAAACTCGACATCTACGAGAGGTTGTGAGAGAGACTCTCAGAAACCGACCTCGACGAGCAGTGGAAGAGGAAGAAGAAGAAGCAGTAGTAGATAAAAAAAGAAAAGAAACTAGATTAACATTTTGAAGAAGTTCGAAGCAGCTGAATGTGAAGAAGTTGGAATAACAAGTGTTCTTTCTTCTGTGCCCCCCTTTTTACATTTCGGATTTACTTTTAGTTTAGTTTCCTTTTTGCCACCTTAAACATTGTGAGACTGTGCGAGTGTGTGTGTCCTTTTTTTTTTTTTTTTCTGGTTTTTGTCGAAGGAACTGGGCAGATGTGATCGGCCAGTTGAGTGTTGTTAATAAACAAGTGCTTCAGTTATGGTAAATAGTGTCTGGCTGGGCAGATAGCTATGGCAAATTTGAACTTGAGGAATATCGGAGGCAGCAGCCTTGGAAGGTCCAGTGTGGGTTTCGGCAGCAATTCAGTGTCCGGACATGTCACCCCCATCTTTGGCCAGAGGGCACCAACAGACAGACGAGGACTCCCCACAATCGGGTAAAAACAAAACAACTTTCCATCCATCAATCAATCAATCAAATAGAGTCATCCTGCATCAATCAATCAATCTCTCAATACACTTTTTCTTTTTTTTTTATAACAGAAAGAGAGGAAATTCGAAAACCATAACCTGCAAAACAATTCTATTTTTTTTTTTAGAGTTTAATCTATCAGCTGGTCTGATTTGTTTTTTTTTGTTGTTGCTCTAAACAAATTATATTATTTGCAGGTTATGAGAGTACGAACAGGAGGGAAATCCCCTTCAACCATGGAACACTTGTTTTTATTTAATTTTCATTTATTATTTATTTTGTTTTTTATTGCAATTATTATTTAATACCCCCCCACCACCCCCCTTAAAATTGTTTTTAGCTGTGCATCTGGAAAACGACAAGTGAACGTGAAAGATGCACAGCCGAAATCGCTTTTGCGTTCCAATTATTATTTTTATTTGAATTTAATTAATGTCGCCGTTCGTCTCAATTTGGTGCTGTTATTACATCCGTTACAGCTCAATACAGTTGACTAGATCTTAAGTGTGCAAGCTACAACCCTACAACACTCAGGGTTCTTCGTTTTAACGTCTTTTTGTTTTGTTTTTATTATTATTATTTTATTTTTTAATACCCCACTTTCTCCTTCCTTTATCTCGTTGTTATCCTCTCAGATTGTGAACTAATCTACACTGATTACATACACCTTCAAATACATACACACACACACACTTGATTTAATCTATATACTAATAATATGTAGATTCAAGCAAAAGTAAACAACTGTATCTCAATTGCTTGGTATTATATTGAACACAAGTTAACATGATTTTGAAAACTTTCATAATGTATATATAAACCTTAAATTTTGCTTAAAGTAATCTATGAAAATCATTTCATTTAATTAATTCTCCCTTTATAAGTTAAAGTGCGTCACCGAAAACGACCTTCGGTTTCTCTAATTGACGTCGACGAATACTTTCAAAAAAAAAGTAAATTTAAATCTCGTTTTGCAGTTTTGTTTGCTTGATAACAACAACAACAACAATATTATCTGCTTTACAATTCGTTCGCTGTTGTTCATCAAACGTGATGACCAACAAGAGTTTGGGTATATAAATAGAAGAAAATTGTAAATCTGTGAATTCAATATTTTATACCTGCTGCTTATAAGAAATGACCATTCCAGACATCTCTAGCCCTTCATTCTATACCTCTACCATCTCCCTCCCTTCTATTTGTCTCGGTATCGGTAATTCTCTTCTTGTACTGTAAAGAAAGTTTTCCTTTTTTTTTTTCTGGTCAGTCGAATTCAGTGGTCGGTGCGTCAAGAAGTAAACCAAAAATAAATACGTCAAATTTCAAACTCGTCATATTTCGTGAAAAAAAAAATCGACATGATTTCTCCGGTTGATGAGACAAGGTAATATTAAATTCGATTGTTCAATGATTTCATTCTCATCCTGTTGCTAACAACAAGGCATTGCTGATTTTCAATTGTTCAAACAATATAGCTTCTTCGGTTGCTAACAACAGGTATTGATAATTACCATGATTGTAAAGTTGCCTGATAATATAAATTATGATGATGATGATAATACCAAGCAATTGTGATTCACGTGTAAATACTTATTCTGTTTTCGTTTCTGAACTCTTCGAAATCTATACTTCTCTACAATTAACTACAGTTAATCTTTCTTGTGTGTGTTTGGAATTGTGTAAAAGTGCGTGTGAATGCTAGAGTTTGGTTTAGTAAATTAATGATTTTTAATTGATTTTAAACACAGAAATTATCGAAATTTCTCTGTGCCATCCATATAAATGACTAGATGAATTAAAAATCTCATCATGTACGTTCTCAATCTAAGTTTAGTGTAAAAGGTCACGTAGTGCGAGTGAGATAAGTGCGGAAAATGCTGCCTCAATACAAAGTCAATGTCTAAATAGAAAATTGCAAGGTTGGACTTTATTAATTGATGCGGAGGAATCAACAAGTTTTCTTCATTTCTTTTTCTGTTTTTTTTCCTCGTGAGTTTGAAATTGGTTTGATTTTTTTCTTTCTTTCTTTTGTCTGTCCTGTCCATGTTTTATCTCCTGGTTAAATAACGTCCTCTCCTATAGTTGTAGATGTTGTTGTTGATGATTGTTTTTGAAAGAGTAAGTGTTTGTATGTTGAGTGAGTGAGTGAGTGAGTGATGTTTGAATGTATGTACGTGTGTTTTAGTGTGTGCGTTGCTGCTGTGTGTTGTTAGACTATTGGATCTTACTGTGGTTGTTTCTGTTTTTGTAGTAACAGTAATCAGATGAGTAATATGGCGACGTTGAGCGGTTACAACTCGCTACATACAGTGTTCGGGTCTGGGGATACGAGCACGCCTCCCCTGCTCGACCTGAGTGAATTTCCGTCGCTGACTAATCGGAGTTCCAGTGGGGAGAATGTCCCGCAGCCGAGCCCGATGCCCGGCAGCAAGCCCTACGTCGGCATGGTCAAGCAACCGACGTCCGAATCGAGCGAATTCACGATGTCCTCCGAGGATTTCCCGGCGCTGCCGGGCACACAGATCAACCGGGGCGGAGACGGAGAGTACGCGGCCGTAGGAGTCGGAGTGGGCGGCCCCGGAGCCATCGGCGTCGGCGGTGTGGGAGGAGTCGGACTGGTGGGCGGCGGAGGCGGATCTGTAGGATTGGGCGGTGGAATCGGCGTCGGAGGAGGCGTGTCGCTGGGAATGGGAGGAGACAAGGGCGGAGGCGGTGACGGCAGTTCCGGCGGTGGCATAGGCGGCCTAGGAGGCGGTGGAATGGGTGACAAGTGCAACCTGAAGAGCGGCGGCATCGGTGGAGTCGGTGGTGGTGGTGGTGGCATACAGACGCATTCGGATGGACGGGTGACCAACATTCCTGCGAGCATGGTCAACGATCAGTTCGGAATCGTCGGTCTGCTGACGTTCATCCGGGCGGCAGAGACGGATCCGAATCTGGTGTCGCTCGCCCTCGGACAGGACCTGACCGCCCTCGGTCTGAATCTCAACTCACCGGACAATCTGTACCCCACGTTCGGCGGCCCATGGGCGGACCAGCCCTGCAGGCCGCAAGATCTAGACTTCCACGTTCCTCCAGAGTATCTCATCAACACGGCTATTAGGTACAGTATCACAAACAGATCTCTAACTCTCATCCACTATATGTATATTCATCATCAGGGATAAATTGGCGTGCGTCAAGCTGAACCGATACAAAGAAGACCTGCTGTTTTTCATGTTTTATAATAACGTCGGGGACGTTCTGCAAATTGCTGCCGCAAGCGAACTGTAAGTCATAATCAAATATTTAGAAACAATTATGATTCAAATAAACATTGATATATATTTATAATTTACAGGTATTCGCGGGAATGGCGTTATCACATGGAGGAGAAGGTGTGGATAACGCAGGTTCCTGGGATGGTCCTAATGGAAAAAACCTCGACGTACGAGAGGGGCATGTACTACTTCTTCGACGTGCAGAACTGGCGCAAGGTTGCTAAGGAATTCTACCTGGATTATAGCAAGCTCGAGGGCAGACCCATAATCCAGGGGAGCGGCTTACACCCTGCGTGAGGATCGCGCATTTCGACGTACGAGTCGTCACGCCCTACCATCGGACACAAGAAACACGCCCATCCCAAACACCACCACCACCCCCCTAAAAATACACGTACACACAAACACACAACAACAACAAAAACATCCATAAGAAACAGCAAGCAAAAAAATTATGAAAATGCGTGCATTTTCACATAATATATACATCAGATATACACGTACAAAGAACAGCAAAACAAACAAAAAAAAACGACTATAAATAAATGAAAAGTGTATACATCTCTATATATATATATATAATAATTATTAATATTGAATACATTGTTTTTATTTCTCTTTTTTTTTATTATGATTTGTCGTCATTACAATTATTATTATGATTATCATCGACATTTTACCATTATATATCTTTTTTTTTAAATTCAATTAGATTGTTATAAATGAATATTTATGGGAGGAGATCTCGAAGAAGGAGGAGGAAGGAGCGAGGCGTATACATCAGATTCCGTCTAGTACTTATAACTACTACTACTACTTCTATTATAATTATTATTACTACTACAACAATTGTGTACAATGTGTTTGTGCGGCGATTTGTGCATGATTTGCGGCTCGGAGGAGCGTCTTCGCGATGCGTGGCTCCGCCCTGTTCGTCGAGGTGCCTCCTCTCTTCATCTCCGGCGCCGCCCATCGCATGACACCCGCCTCTTCGTATATATTTTGTTTTCCCCGCCTAGCAAGATGTTCACATTCTCTCACACACAAAAAAAATCGTTTTTATTTCAATATCTTCTCACTTGTTCTCCGAAACGAAACGAAAAACAAAAAATTATATAAGAGAAGAAACAATTTATTATTATAATTATTATGAATAACCAACCGAAACAAACATATGTATAAACACGAAAGATGTTTAAACCAGATCGTTTCCAAACTTTATATATATCTCTTGTTTTCTTTCCCATTTTTTTTTGTTCTTTCTGGATTATATACAGTTTTCATTTTATTTGTAAATTTATTGTACATTGAACATTAAACAAAAACAAACAAAAAAAAAACTAAAATAAATAAAAAAAAATATACAAAATATTAATTAAACAATTGTTTTTACTTTGAAAATTATCCGTCAACAAAAAAAAAGTCGTTAAAAGTGAATTAATATTATGTATTTTTGAACTACTAGAAAATTTATATGAACACTGTGTATATAGTAATTTACATTGGTAGTATGCAACTTAGATCACACAGCGCGTTGCGTGTTGCCAATCTATGCCATAATAAATATACGTAACTTAATAAAAACAAACACACATCTATAGATGAACTAGAAGAGAAATTGATGAAACTGCACGTTTCTACTCTAAAGTTATACAACTTAACTTGCACTACTGCATCTGTGATTTAGTTTGGTAACTGAAGTGCATTTATGTTTCAATGGTTGGCAGCGTTCCTGTTTTACGATCAGCTGTCATCGTGGACGCTTGTTTTGGTATATAAACGTTGGTACGTGTGTTTCCCAAGCATTTCCAAATTGTTTTATCGAGGACGAGCGAGAGGTGAGCAAGTCGAGAGAGCAGTGATCGTGTGTGTTAGTAGCAGATAGAAAACAGTTTTGGTACGCATACATATACACACACAGAGACGCATGGTTTGGGCAGCACCGGCTTTTATAGGTCAAACATATAAAACAAACACTGCTACTGCTGCTGCTGCTGCATTCTAAATCAATTATATAAAAAGATAGAGAGAGTGTGAGAGATCTTCGTTGACTGACGTTATTATTGAAAGGTAGGTGTTGTTGTGGCAGGTTGGCATAGTTAGGAGGTGGCATTTCGATTGATCGTTGTTTTATTGTTTTTTTTTTGTTTGTTAGTTTTGTGGTGGCTTTGATCCGCAATCGAACGACGATGAAAGATGTGATCGACGTGATGGAGCTGCAGAAGGAGAAGCAGAGGGGAAAGCAGCAGCCTCTGGATTACAGGAAATTAGAGTTCAATGGTGGCTTCACCCCGGCCAGATTCATCTTCGAGTGCGGCATCAAGCTGAGGGCACAGCCGTTGACCATTGCCACGGCAACGGTGCTCATGCACAGGTTCTTCAAGGAGGTCGACCAGGCCAACTACGATTGCTACGTAAATATAATAATCAACATTTTAATCGATCGATCGATTTATTCATATTTCTGTGTTAACGTTGCAGCTGATCGCCTCTTCCACCCTTTACTTGGCTGGGAAGATCAAGGACGACAGTCTGAAGATCCGGGACATCATCAACGTGTCGTACAGCACGTTGCACAGGAGCAACGGTCCATTGGAGATCGGCGACGAGTTCTGGAATATGCGAGACGCGATCGTCCAAGCGGAGCTCCTCATCATGCGCATCCTCAAGTTCGAGGTGACGATCACGCATCCGCACAAGTACCTGCTGCACTATCTGCGCTCTCTGGAAGGCCTGCTGGGAAAGGAGCAGTGGAGCAAATTCCCGATCGCCAGAGGATCGGCTGCTTTCCTCCAAGATTTCCATCACGATCCCAGCATCCTCGACTACGACCCGAAGCACATCGCCGCCGCCTGCATCACGCTCACCCTGCAGTGCTACGGGGTCAGCCTTCCGCTGATGGAGGACACCGACGACGAGACGTGGTACACGGTGTTCGTGAAGGATCTGCAGAGGGACAAACACTGGGAGATCATGGAGAAGATCATGGAGGTGTACACCAAGGACGAGGAATTCTGACCGGAATGTCCAACTACATCCGACGACGAGGATGTAGCAGCGTCACCATCGGCAGATCTGCAGCACCAGGTCCGTCGCATCGATGCGATCGCGGAAAACGCAGTTGCTGCAGCCAACGACCACCACCACATCAACATGGACTTCATCAATTAAAACTTTCCTCCTCCTCTTTCTCTACATAATCTTACCTTAATCGACTGCTTTCGGACGATATATATATATATACATATATAAATATTATGATATCCATACGTATATTTGTAATTATTAATGTAATACGTACGAAACCATAATTATAACGAAAAAAAAAAAGTTTGTACTTCTCGTGTGATAAATTTGTCAAATAAATTTGTATTTGTGATACGTATACATATATTTATTTTCTATCTCTAATAATCATCTTATATTCTTCCCAGTAACAATGTTTCAATATTGAAACAATGCGATTTGGTAATCAGACGATGAAAGTGCTTTCAAATCACTTTCAAACTTTAACAAACAATTTGTTAACTTCCTGACTTGCAAAGAATGATTACGATGACTTAGTTATCTATACAAACAAAGATTTACATAATAATATGTCAATACATATTGATTCAATTGTTACCAACATATTTTTTTTTTTAAATTTATTTATCACTGATAACAGAACTATTCTGATATGACAATAAAATCACTAAATAAATAAAGACACTAACCGAAAGATTTATTAACCATTATCAATCACTGTCTATGATATAACGACTTCTCAAATCAAAATCAATATAAAGTGACAATTGAAAATCAGTTTGTGAAGACTACTTTGAAATGTCAAAAATTTAAAAAAAAAACTTACCAATAATTATTTACAACAAAACGAATAAGACAAGATTCGAAAATGGAAATCCTCTAAAAATAACAAAAGATTAAATGAAGGAAAAGAAAACGAGTTCACAAAATTTATTTCGGTCGCAAAAAAATAATAAGCAATATACCATATCATTGTTTCACATGAACTGTTGAAGGAAAAAACACTCCCAAACATCATCATCGAATTATTTTCTTTCCATCTTACATAATCATCATTATAATTACACATATTTTTATATTTCCCCGTGACAATCATCATCGGCAAAACATTCATAATAATAATTACAACATAATATGGCAACGTCGTACAGTGGCGTCATAGAAACCAAAAAAAAAACAATAAAGGATCGTATACAGGGTGTCACGCAATGAATCGAATATAGTGTAAACAGTACCAATCTAAAAAAATCATCATCAGATGACAGTTGACAAGAAAAATAAAAATTACCAACAAACAAACATAAAAGAACAAATTCTTCGAGTAATAATAATAATAACGAAATTAAATTTACAAACGATATCTTCTCTGTTTACAAGACTTTTTATTATTATTATTACTTTCATTTCTCAATTTCATCGATTTCATATATATAATAATGCAATATTATATCGATAATACCACCTTAAATACGTAAATACAATTATTAAACGATCAACATTCAACGGTGAAACACGTAATAGATTATACATATATTATGTTTTCTTTTATATTTCATTTTTTTTTTTAAATTTTATTCTTAAAGAATTTGTATATTTTATACATTTATGCAATACAATAATAATAAGTAGATGAAAAATAAATAAATATATATATCTATATATAGAAACAAGGAAGGACTCGTGATGCTTTTTAATATTTAAAACTTTTTCAGTTGGCGACATTTACGAAAAAACAATTGTTGACAATTGAAATAGGGTTTTTTTTCTTTTTTAGTTTGGCGACATTTGCAAAAGCAATTAGAGATTCTATTTTTTTTCTCTCTTTCGGTTGGAGACGTTTTCGATAAACGAAAAGAAAGAACGAATGCAGCAGAGCGTGTTGTATCATTATAATGTATGTAATATATTGACGAAGCCAGTACAATCAGAATATAATAATTATATTAAATGTTGTTTGTTCGTAGGATCAATTTATCATTATTTTTTTTTGTCAATAAAGGGTGTTGGTATTGTTGTTAGAGGGGGAGGAGAGGGTTGTTGGGGTGTTTGGTGGTGATGGTTGGTATTGGAATACAATAATTTTACACCTATCTAAAGACCATTTTAATCCTAAACATTTATTAAATACTCTCGATATTTCTTTATTTGTTGTATCTTCCTTTAATTCTTGCGTGTTTGCGAGTGAACGTGTGTGTGTGTGATGCTTTCTTTTTTCTTTTACCTCGTGTTAGGTTACGTGCTCTAAAACGTCTATTTTTCAGATTTCCCAGAACAATAAACATTAACAAATTGAAGAAAATTAATACAAAAAAAAAAGAAAAAACAAGGCTAACTAAATATTATTTTTTATCTTATCCATTCTTTCAATTAATGTTTTCACATTTGTTCCGCATAGTCAAAAGTCCACTTTACCATCATCATCATCATCATTATAATCTCGTATATAAGTATAAATATAGTCTCGTCATTATACAATGTAGTATATGTATATAATATAAACACTTTCGAATAGCGTATAAAAAAGTTAATGTAATCTTGATACTCGGTTTAGTATTTTTCTTCTTTTTTTTATATATTCCCTCGCAATATTTGATATGATTTTAATTTTTTTTTATTTACTTCAGTTAATTTCCAAACATAAACCAACTACAAAACACTAACAAAAAAATACCAACTGTGAAACAAAAAAAAAGGAGCTATTGCAGTTGGATTTTCGACAAATGCGACAGTTAGCAGCAGCAGCAGTTTCAATTTGGTGCGCATTGCCAACCGATATAATGTTACTAACGAAAAACAACTAAATTTTAACCTAAATTTGAAACCTAGGCGGAATCACAGTTGACATTGGATGCAATTATTAAGTTTTTGTTTTGTTTGTTAAACATTGTTCACGTAAAACAGCCATTTTTTCAACGAATTTTTAATTCACTTTTTTTTTTTTGGTTAATTTGTCGCACAAATTCACGCAGTTTGCCAGAACATTCATGTCTACCTCACAACACACTTATCATCAATTATTTATATATGTATATATATATTAGTTTCTTTTTGATCTGCATTATTGATGTATATATTATATATTAAATATATGTATTTGTTAATTAGTTGATTAATTTATTATATATGTATGTATACGTTTAGTTATTACACTTATCCAAAGGGTTCACAGCAAGAGAGATAGAGATTCGCGCGGGGATGTGAGGGGAGGTATATTATTTGCTCGCGCTATAAATTCGTTCGGGGGGTGGAAAGAAAAGTAAAAATCAGGAGATTCGTAGCGTTCTTTTATATATATTTATATTATTATTATTAATTCAATCGAGTGCGGACGTGCGCGTATTTTAATTAACAACAAAGAAATAATAATGCGGCAATGCATGTATTTAGAGATACGTGAAAAAGACGCGTTTCGAAGATCGCGCCATCTCTGGCCAGAAGACTCGAATTAGGTTATACCCAAACAAAAAAACAAAAAACGAAAAACAAAACAAGAAACGCTTAACAATTAGTTTACATAGTGTCATATAGAAATATATACATTTATTAAATATAAATATTTTCTTGATAATATTTTCTTCTCATTTTTTTTTGTTTGTTTGTTTATGTTTTAAAAGTTAAATACACTTTATGCTGAGGATTCATCATCATTATCATTATTAGTTATCATGTTTTAAAGCAAATTGTTTCTAGGGTTTGCGTCACTTCAAATTGATAGGAATTCGTGTGTGTGTGTGTGTGTGCGTTTCTAAGAAGAAAATTGAACGACGGAAAACAAAAAGCTGTAATTCTCAGTTTGCACTTCTTTTATTTATTTTATTTTTTTTTGTCTGTTCGAAGAAGAAGAAGCAAACGCAACATTCGAAATTAACGGCGATTTCTAAAACAAAACGCGACTCGTAAATAGTTCAATCAAAGGACAAACGCGAGAGATTCGAGACGAAAGAATTTACAATAGTTACATTGTATACACACACACACATAGTAATATATATTATAAATAGTTTTACAAGACACTCATGGGTTGTGTTTTGGACAGACAGACAGATAGACACTATATATATATATATTTGATATATAGATTGGCGCAAGAAAAACCACAACATCAGAGGGAGGAGGGGTATGCGTGGGCGGAGCCAGTTTTCCGCGGAATCTTGTCATCTGATTGGCTTACATGTATATATATATATAGATTATAAATATTTAAATAAGGGAGTGGCGATGGGAGAGGCCTACCAGCAGCGACACGCCCACCGCCTCCTCGGCAACAAAGTCCTTCGTCGTCATCACCACGTGGCCCCGCCCACGGAGTTACGACACACTTATAAGCACACTAGATTAAGTTTGTTTGTTTTTTTTTATCCATTTACCTTCTTATTATATTTATATCATTACAGTAATCAATCGAAATTTCTTACTCATAATCCTTCTCCTCGTCTCATTTATCCCCTTATTCTCAATATTATTATTATTTTTTCCCCTTTCATTTTTTTTTCGCTTTCAACATATGTACACTTGACTAGTAAACTCGCACCGAATAAAATACAAAATAAAGATAACATTTTTTTATATGTATATATAAATTAACTAAAGATAAATGGGCGACGGTCGCGAGCGAATAAACAGTTGGCGGAACAATTCGGAACAAGGACCAATCGCAGCTAGTTTACTACTCGACATGTATTTGTTTTGCTTTTTTCATCTTCTTCTTCTCATTTATGTATTTTTTGTTATTTTCGCTTTTTTTTTCTTTCTCAAAAACAATCAAAATAATATGTTTGAAAATATGTTGTGATCGATTAGTGCATAAATGGCGGGGGGTGGGTAGGGAGGAGCCAATTCGTGCGGGGCGTGTCTATAATTACAGTAACAATAACAAATGGGAGGAGGAGGGGGGGATGGAGAGAGGTCACAGAACAGAAGAACGATGTGAGATTCGATAAAAGTGAATGAAAAGTGTGAGAATTCCTTTTTTTTTCTTTCGTTCTACATGTAGGGGGAGGGGGATAAAAAATAATCGAGGTGGCTGGAGGAGAAAATTGAAAATAAAAAAAAAGAAAGAAAGAAAGAAGTAGATGTAGTAAAATAAAAGTAAGAGAAAACCTTTCGCTGACTTCTTCGCTTCAGGGCATTCATCGGATGTCCTTGATGTTCGACTTGGAGCCGAATATTTTGAGCATCTGTTCCTCGTAGTCGTTTATGTTGCGCTTCATGATCTGCATGCACGGCCCGAGGAGTCGCTCGAACGTCTCCACGTCCAAAACTGTAAAGATGTAGAGAAGAGCAACAGATGAATGGTTGAGTGAATGAGTGATTCGGTTTTTGATGTGATTTACATGCGAGCTTCACGTCCTCGGCGGCGTAGGCGGAGGCGGCGCGCGGTCTGTGCGTGACTAGGGCCAACTCCCCGAAGTAACCGCCCTTTCCGATCCGGTTCACCTCCACCTCCCTTCCGTTGTCCTCGACGGTAATACTGATTGTTCCCTGCTCGACGAAGTACATGCCGTCCGCAGTGTCGTTCTCCTTGATAATCCTGTCGCCTGCGAAATCCAATTATTATTATTATTAACTCAGTATTTTAACAAACTGTTGCGAGTTGCTCACCTTGTGAAAAAGACTTTGGCGCCAGAGCGTCGGCGAGATTCATCCTCTCGTACGATTGCAAAGTCTTCAGCATGGGAACGCTGTCGATGAGGGCCTCGTACATCTTCCTCTTCTTGAAGGCCGACTTCAGAAGGATACGTCTGAAGGTCTGCCTGTCCATGGCCCACAGTGATCCATCCGTGTGGGCTGTGATGGTGGCAGCCCTGGGCATGTTGTACATTAGAGCCAACTCCCCGAAACTGCCCTGTCCGTTGTACGTGTGGATGTGCTGCGGCTCCTTCGACGGCTCCGAAGCGACGTACGCGTAGAACACGCCCCTGCAAACAGAAAAAAATGTAGACGACTGGCGTTGCAGCAATTAGGGTTGCATCCTCGCATCTTACTCTTGGATCACGTAGAAGTTGTCGCCGTCGTCGCCTTGTTTGATCACCATCTCACCGGCCTTCACTTTCTTCTCGAACATCGCGTCCAGCACGTCCTGCATCTGCTCCTTGTCCAAGGCGCGGAACAGCAGAATGTTCGCGACGGCTTCGGCTAATTTGTCCCTCTGCTCGTCCGACTTCGGGAACACGACTTTCTCGCCTTCGTCATCGTCCTCCTCCGGATCGTACGTTTCCGCAAACACCGACTTGCGACGAGTGTTGAATCTGCCGACCGGCGGCTCTGGAACATCCATTGATTTTATTAATTGAAACAACCAATTTTGCCCAACAAATACATTCAAAACAAAAAAAATATATGACAACCGTCCGCGTCACTTCGTTCAAACAATACCAACCATTGTTAACAAAATAACCAACATTTAATTTCTTAACAAAAATTAACGTTTATAAATCGACAATATATATATATTAAAGAAAATTGAGAATTATTCCTAAACTGTTTCAATAAATGCCAACCATTGTTACTAAAATAACTAGGAAATAAAATTATTATCTACAAACTGAAAAGAGAGCAGCAAAACCAGACCAGAGATTTAAATTTAGCGAATTGGGTGGTAGTCGTCGTGACCCACATATATAATCAATCGATAAATAGGAAATAAAAATAAATAAATACGACGGAAAGAAAAACGTCACTGCTCTTAAATGAAATCATTTCGTTTGCGGAGGAAAGCATCGATCGAAGTCGGCGAAGAGAGAAAAGGTTGAATTGGGGACCGAAAACGCCATTCACTTTGCAAAGCGAAATAATGCTGTAGTGAGCAAGTACACACATATATATATACGAGGAACGAAATGAAAAGAAAAAAGAAATGAACATGCATAAAAGTTAAATGAATAACAGGGCCGGGCAAATTAATTACGTGCGTTTCATTTAATTAACCTTTTCGGTCGAGCGGATCGCAATAAAACATCAAACATATTACAACTACACACTAAATGTATGCCCGAGCCGGCAAACGAATAAAATTTGCAAAAATTTAATCATCGTAATAGGCCGTGCACTTTTTGCTTTTCTTTTAAAACATTAATTAAATTTGCAATGTTTCAAATTCAAAACCATCATCAATAATATCTATGCAACCAAATTTGCATAGATCAATTAGAAATTTGACAACAGCATTTAATCGATTTATTTATTGAACAACACAATTTTGAAGTTTTTTACTCTCTTTCTCAACTTGGCAACAGGGAATTTCTGTCTCTCGCGAAAAGGATAATCTTGGTAATTTTTGAGCAAACAGGAAATTTTCGGTTTTTTTTTCTCTCTTTTTACAGGGGACGAACTGACCACCGGCACCGCACTCAGGCTCCTTGATAAATCATCGAACCCTCGTTGCTAACGTGCTCATAGTACGTTTCGCTCATATAGTAACCTATAAAAAGCAGAACAAACAGAAAAAAAAAAAGGAAAATTTCATTAAATCTGATCAAAAAATACATAAACTACCTTTCAACAAATCTATAATAATACTTTCGAATATATCTAATTATGAAACGAATTCGTTTTATAAAGAGAATCATATAAGAATTCTGTTTAAAGGGACAAAAAGAAAAACCAAAAATGTAATTTCAAAACATTAAAGCTATTAATGAAAAATTGAATTAAATCCAAAGTAAAATTAATATATAAATATTATCTTTTAATGATACTTTAAATAAAAATAGATTATGTAATTGCATCAATCTTAATGCTGCATTGAAATCCATAATTTGACATGTAAACTTTAGATTTACTACTAAATTAACAGAGTACACTTGTATGTATCTAGTTATGTAATTGGTTGTTTTCTTAATCAACTTGAAAAAAAAACTGGAATTTAATTAAGTTGGTAGCAGATGCAGATTTTCGTTTGAGTGTCAAATTGGAAGCACTGCAGTGCTGGTAATAATCAATGTGACAAGTGGGCTTTGGTTTTTCATCTTGACTTTAGAGACAAATGACAGGTTGAACGAATGAAAGACAACAATCTCACCTTCTTCCCTGGACATGGACTCCTCTGGGGATGAGGGTGTTGCAGCTGTCGTGTTCCTGTCGTACACAATCTCCGTGGTCCTGGCATCTCTGAGTCGACAGAAGTAGTCTGCAGCATAGTCGACAACATCTCCTGGCTGCTCCAACAGGTAGCTGATGGTGAACTCGAGGAGCACCTCCCTGAGGTCATCCGGCACCTGGATGCGTTGTCCCTGTGATCGACTCATACTGAAGCTCCCGAACAATACTAAATACAACAATCTATTCTATTTTCCCCAAAAAAAAACTGTTTAACGCGCGCGCACTAACAATTTCCACCCCAAAAACAACATAAAATCTCCTCTTTTTTTCTTTCCAAATCACTAAATTCTGCGCTCCGTTGCGTGTGGCTAGTTCATATCTGCAAGCTGAAAAAGTCGGGAGAGTAATGTAACCTTTTTTTTGGTTGTTTCTTATTTAATGGAATGAGCACACACAACTGTCACGGTGTATATGGTCGACACATACAAACAACACACGATCGTGTTTTGCTTTGGTATATTCAGACTACTTTGATATTACGTCTATGTGTGTGTATATAATATGTATATAATTTTAGTGTGTGTGCGTGTTTTAGCTGCGGGTGGGAGCGAGAGAGAGAGAAACGGTTGGCGGCGCTCGGGAGCGACGGAGATAGGGCTAAAATGGCCGGCGGCAGGCAGCCAAACGCACTGGGAACTAAAAAAAAATCACAGGGGTTCAACGGGTTGCGACCTTCTTCTGGGCGTACGACTGCCACAATCCAACTGGTTCAACTATTGATGATGCGGTATTAACGATTTGCAGTCACGATAATCCTTCTGCCAAAATACACTTGCAACAAAGTAAGAAGAAGCACTCTGCGTCACACTTCACTGCGCTCCCTTTTTGCCCTTCGCCACACAACACACACACACTCCTCCTATGTATTGAATCTATTTGTATTTGATTTGTTTCTGTGTATGTATATGTTGTTCCAAATTGTATTTTTTTGAAATTTGGAAATAAATAAAACTCACTAGACTATTGGAGCCTTTCTTTCGTCCTTGCTTGCGCTCGTCCTGCTGCTGCTACTGCTTTTTAGCTCTGCTCCGCTGGGCTCGTCCCTCCACTCTCACGTACTCTCCACGACGTTCGTGCTTTTCCGTCGCATTCGGTTAGATCTGTACGTGCACAACGAACGCCCTTTCGGCTCCGACGTCGTGTCTTCTGTGTGTTCGCACGCGCCGTCCCCGACGACGCCGACGCCGCCTCTACCACCACCGCTGCTGCTGCTGATATAATCAATGATTAATGATCGTCGGATGTGTCACTTCGGACAGGTGGAACGAACGGTAAAGAAAAAACGAATCAGACCTGCCTTGACCGTCAATTCACAGAGTTGCCACCTGGTGCAAGCTTGTACAGATCTCCCCACTTAATTAACAGTTAATTAATATCAAATTTTAAACAAAATATTCAAATTAACACTTGCAACAAACCAAAAACTTATTATTAAGAAGAACTTACAATATTACACAATATAGCTATAACTAAGATGTATAATTAAACTTAGTTCAAATTAACTTAAATTTTAATTAACATAAACTTCTATACTCTTTCAGGACTCGCTTCGCTCGCCCATCAACAACACAAGAAAACAACTTTAAATTAGATTAACAAAATTGGGATGATTTACAATTAGTATTATTCAAAACATTGGACAAAAACAAACATTTTGTACTTAAATCCTCTTCATAATTAAAACATACTTAAATACAATTTTAAATGTTTCAATTTCATAAACAAAATTAAATTATAGTTAACTTTCAATTAGCACATTCTATAGTGAAAATAAACTATATTTTGAGAAACATCTGAATCAAACATATTAATTAATTTCCATAGCAACAGCAAAGCTATAACAAAATTTTGTTATTTGCAACAATGCAGAAACTTATTATTAAACAGAACTTAAACTTAGTTAAAATTAACTTAAATTTTAATTAACATAAACTTTTATACTGTTTCAGGACTCGCTTCGCTCGCCCATCAACAACACAAGAAAACAACTTTAAATTAGATTAACAAAATTGGGATGATTTACAATTAATATTATTCAAAACATTGGACAAAAACAAACATTTTGTACTTAAATCCTCTTCATAATTAAAACATACTTAAATACAATTTTAAATGTTTCAATTTCATAAACAAAATTAAATTATAGTTAACTTTCAATTAGCACATTCTATAGTGAAAATAAACTATATTTTGGGAAACATCTAAATCAAACATATTAATTAATTTCCATAGCAACAGCAAAGCTATAACAAAATCAAGTTTGACATTAGCGGTGTTGCAAATTGTATTTGTTTATTGTTTATTTTCGACGTTGTACAATTATTATTATTGTGTATATGCAACCGATTGTAGTATTGTTGTTTGTTTTAATTTGCGTGGTGCGTTTTTTCGTGCGATCCGGCAACGACGCCCACGGTAACAGTGACGTGCTAGGAGGCTAGGTGGGCCAATGTAGGTCAAAGGTGCGAAATATGCAAAGCTGCCGCCGCCGCCATTCCCCTCTTCGTCCATCCCCACTCGCGAATACAGAATGTGTGTGTGTGTGACCCGGGGCAAACGGGCGGCGCTCGTTAGAAAGTGGAGTAGATTTTTACGAAAGAATCTCGTATGTAGATTAATGAACTGCCAAAAAAAACATATAACATAACAAATAAATAAATAAAACAAGACACGCAGTCTTGGAAAGTTTCAATAATTTAACGCGCACACTTTGTAATTCGCAATAAAATTTTGTATCGAAAATAAACGCATGGAATAATATGAACAATACACGCGAATACACATTAAATTCATTTATTTGCTGTGGTACTTAGATTAACAACGTACTTATCGTGTATGGGCAAACATTAGAAACGTGCTAATCGTGTATGCCATGACTAATGCTATTGTTTCAGCAACGAATTGTTTTTTTTTAAATTTGTTTTCAAAATATTGTTGCTTATTTATAAATATCGTGTTTATAAATATTTTAATAAGTAATTATTGAAATCAAAGTCCTATCTTTTTTTTTTGTTTCACTAAACAAAATGGAACGATTTGAATATTCATTAATTCGTCTATTTTTAGAAACACGCTTAATTTTTAATTGCGTTGATGCTGATTTGACCGTAATCAATGGCCACTGCATGCCGAGTCTATAAATAAATAAATAAATAAATAGATCATAAATAAAATTTATATAACATATGCAACTTGTAATGCAGATGATGTTGTAGTATACGGAATATAGGCAACTCAAGTTACTGAAGCCTAACCAGAGTACCAACCTATATTTAATTTAATTGGAATATTCCAAACTATATTATAGACATACACAGAACGTTTTAAAATTACAAATTCTGATAATCAATAAGACTTCAATTATTTATATTATGATTGGAATAGAAAATGAATATGCTTTGACAGTTCTCACAAGATGGCGCTATAATTTACTACAGTGTGGCCCAAAATACTTACCCACAAAAATTCCGTTTATTCATATTTGTAGTTGAAATAATAAGAATATTTTTTCTTGTTTCCACTTTATTTATTGATTCAATGAACAAAAAAAAGAAAGTGTAAATAATTAGAAAACAACATTCGATTTACATATAATACACATCATTATATCGTAATAATATCATATTATTTATTCAGTTAGTTTCGTCGATTACATTCCTTGCATTCAAAGTAAATATTACAATTAATTAGTCGTCAGTGAATTATACAAAATAAATAAATAAATAAATAAATGTTATAGTAAACGTCAATTTGTATGTCATCATCCATTTATTAATATGTATACCCTTTCTTCTTCGTTAGGCAACCGCAATTGCAGCCACCGATGATTATTTCTTTTAAATATCCTCGTTACATACGCTTTTGTATGCAATTATTTGTTTGTTTGTGGTGAAAGTAATCCAATGGCACATAGAGATTAGTTTCTTAACTAGAGTTATTTTTTTTTTAATTAGGAAAGAAGTGTTTTCCTTTGCATCCATCCGCATTTTTCTTTTTCTCTCTCTCTCTTTCATCAATATTAAATATTAATAATAATCATAATATATAATAATAATAACATTATCGTAACAATCTATAAAATCTATAACATACATGATATACACTCGCGCACCGTGTGCTGCATAACTCATAACTTCAGTTCGAGCGATGTGTGGTACCGTTTCTCAAATCTGATTGGATCCAATTTGGAAAAAAAAATCTAATAACTTGACGGTATGCGATTAGGGAGAGAATCAGGAAGAAGTTGATCGCTCGATTTGAAGATGGCGCTGAAGACACGCTCTCTTTTATATATGCAATATATTTGTCACATCCAAGCAATTATTTCAGTTTTGTAATTATTATTATTATTATTTGGCACAGTCCACCACGTGTATGTATATATATATATATATAATATTTGGGAAGAATTATTACGGAGGGGTGTTGGTTGAGGAATTGTGGTTTATGATGAAAATTAATTATCTGTTTTTGTTTTGGCTACGTTCGAATGAAACTGAAAAAATCTTTCTCGTAGGAATGACAAAAAAAAGGCACCCTCTTTCATTTAAACCTTACGCCGATTTTGTGATTTTGGCGGCCGACGTGGGGCGTCGTTCGATCTCTCCTCCATCTATCGGCGATGGCGATTCGAGGTGCGATCATCATACGTTTATTTGGAAGGCCTCCCTCGTCAATCTGGACATTCCTCGACCGTGCGGCGGTTTCTTCTCGCCCTCGTTTTCGCTCATGTCGGAGAACCTGGACGGCGGATGGATGCGATCGTTGAAGCTGTGCGAGATGCTGAAAGTCGTCTCGTCGTTGTGGCTCGAATATCCGCTGCTGCTGCGGACGTGCCTCTTCCCCAGACTGGGCATCCCTTTGCTTTTGCCCTTCCTCGTCGGATACGCTTTCCTATTGACGCTGCCGGTTGGAGGTGACGTCTCCGACGAAGAGGACGATCCGCCTTCGGCGCCACCTAAAACATCATCATCATTTAAAATCAAACTTCAAACAATTCGAAGATCTATCGAAGAAGCGCCACCTGGAAATCAACTAGATAGTTTGAATGAATGTGTTAACTTTACCGCGCATCCTGTGTGTAAAGGACACTAGCTCTTGGCTTGTTGCCCGACCGTCCCCTTCGGAATCGCTCCCGAGGGTATCGTACTCTGAAATAGGCAGATGTAGCGTTAATATCTTCTTCACCTCTGAGTCAGTGCTGCCCAGATTATCAGATTCTGAAATAATTACCAAAAAAATTCTCAATATTCGACAACATAGACAACCAACACAACAGTGGCGTATACTCTGTTGAAAATTATAATCAGAGGATACGCCACTGGTTCACACGTGCATATTAGTATAGTGGAGCAGCAATGGCCCATTTTGTTCAGTTAACAAAACAGTGCTGTGATCTAAATTACTGTTACTGTAGTATTGTGTTCGAACCTTGACTCTCTGAGTGCGGATCCCTCAGTCTGCCGCCTTTTCGTCGTACCTTCGTGTATTCTGGTTCCTTGCTCTGCAACACAAGAACCTAAGTTAGATTTGAAACGTATCTTCAGAATGTTAACTAATTTAGATAATATAGACATAATAATAAAGTGGATGCGGGTTTTTGCAAATTAACTAGTATTAACTAGAAGAGAGAGAGATGCTTCGGATGAGGAGAGAGAAACTTACGTGTCCTAACTTAAACTTATCAATAGGTGGAGGTTTAACATCATGATAAACAAAAGACCCGCGTACCGAGTGGTACGGCCCACTGTAGACGTTCCCGCTGTACGAGCTCTCGCTGTACGCCGGCTTCGACAGCTGGAAGGTGGCGTACGGACAGATGTCTTCGATGTAATCGGCGGATTCGGCTTTGTAAGCATCCTCAACGGCTATAGGCTGCTGCCCTCTACCCACGCGCACCGCCAGATACTGCTGATCTCTGTTCTGCTTGTTCTGAATCTGCGCCATCGACGGGGACTCTCCCAAAGCGTGGTTCTGCCTCTCCCTGTCCTGCCTCAACTCTGAAAGTAATAATTTCAATTGTTTAAATTTGAACGCGTATTACAGCAAAACGGCTAAAACCACAGTAATATATCAATACTTCATTCAGCTTTCATATGCATCTTTTGGATTCATTCTTTCTATTATAGTTTTCGAGTAAATCAATGAAATGTGAAAACACTGCTTTTCGAGCATTTTTAAAACTTTGAACGCGAATTACAGCCAAACGGCTAAAACCACAGTAATATATGAATACTTGCTACATTCCCCAAACATTCAGCTTTAATATGCATGTTTTGGATTCAATTCTATTATTATAGTTTTCGAGAAAAATCAATGAAATGTGAAAAACAC